TGTGTGTGTGTGTGTGTGTGTGTGTGTGTGTGTGTGTGTGTGTGTGTCACAGTACCCACATTGGGCAGCTCACACTGCCTGAATCTCCAGTTCTAGGTAGTCAGACACCTCTGGCTTCCAAGGGCCCACACCTGTAGACACTTTAAAATTATGTTGTTTTAAATTAAAATTGTGGTAAAAACAATTCACTCTTTTGGGGAAGGGCTGTTGAGACAGGGTTTCTCTGTGTGTCCCTGGCTGTCCTGGAATTTGCTCTGTAGACCAGGCTGGCCTTGAACTGAGAACCACCTGCCTCTGCCTCACTAACAATTCACTCTTATGCTACTGTTTGAGAAAATAGGACACATTACAGATGTCAGGTTAAATGCCACTCAGTCTGCTGTGTATTTGGTTATGCCAGCCACTAAGATGGCTGCTGCTTTGTGCTGTTTGATGTCTATAAAACCTCATAACAGACACGGTAGAAGGAAGGGAAGCTGGCAAGCTTGGAGCAATAGTGAGCCGACTGTTGAGAAGGGGGAGGGGTGATGATGAGCATAAGCTGCCTCAGAGTCTTGATAAAGGTTGGGGGAGGCGGACGTAGCCCAGGGGTCATAATACTTAACGCCTGGCATTGTTACCCATTTCTCCCGAGCAAAAAATGTTGCTGAAGACAGCATTTCTTGGGTCATGTATCTTCCTCTTACATAGTTAAACAGAAGCAGCACTGCCAGGGATAGAAAGGTCTTTGACAGAGAAGTGACTTGAGAACTGGTAGGAAAATTCTTTTTAAACAAATTCTTTTAGAATTATTTTACATGGATGGGTGTTTTGTCAGCCAGTGTGTATGTATACTCTGTGTGCCTAGTGCCCAAGGAGGTCAGAAGAGAAAGGATCTCCTACAAATGGAGTTAGAAATGGTGTAAGCCTCCATGCGGTTCTGTAAGAGCAACACGTGCCCTTAATGTTGATTCATTTCCAGTCCCCAGTAGGAAGATCCTCAAGAACTAACTACACTGGGGCTTGGGGGTGTCTTGGAAATGAAAGAACTTATACTGTTTTGGTGAGAGTGTCTTACTCTGTGACCCACACTGGTCTATAACTCATGTGGTCCTCTCACCTCAGCCGGGATCCCAAGTGATAGAATCAGTGAGCTGCCTAGCTTCAAAGAGAACTTAAGTGCTCTTTTTTTCTCCTAGAATTTACTCTCTCCGTGAACCTCAGACACCCATTAAAGTGATTGTACTTTCAGAAGCAGAAGAGGAAAGTTTAATACTCAATAAAGGGTAAGTGTTGGTGTCACAAAATATTTGAGTTTACTGAGAGTATAAATGCAGTCTTACCAGTAACTGCCAGAATTTCCAGAGGTGAGTTTTAGCATGCTTGTGGTAAGATAGCAAAAAGTCGCAAACCTGAATTTCACTGTAACTAACAGCTTTATCTCTGTTTAAGAAAATTCTAAAATATGACTGGTGGAAGCAATACATTAAACAGTTTGAACAGTTGTAAACAGAAAGAGTATGGGCTGGGCACCTCTGTGCACTCTGGATGGGCCAGGCAGGTTGCTGAACTCCAGCACTGGGCTAGGACAGACTTGGTCCCGATTATTGTTTTTGTTGTTGTTTTGTTGAGACAGGGTCTGTCTATATAGCCCTGGCTGTCCTGGAACTCACCATGTAGACCAGGGTGGCCTTGAACTCAGAGATCCACCTGCCTCTGCCTTCTGAGTGCTGCAGTTAAAGGTGTGTACCTCTATGCCTGGCCCTTCTGATTATCTTGTGCTTTTGGCTTATTTTGTTTTCTTACCTACTACATGCCCTGTCCTACTCTTACCACAAATGGAATCATCCTTTGAACTTGCAAAACCCAATCTTCTGGCCTCCTGATCCATCTCTCTGGTGAGCACATGTGGTCACGTGTAGTATACATGCTTAGAATGAAAGCTAATATGTAGTTATCCTCATGTGTAGTTTGTTGCCGGAGCCCGCCAGCAAAGTCGAACAGTACCGGAGTGGGGAGTGAGAACTGAAAGAAATAAAGCAAGACACAAGGACTGTCAGTAAAAGCTGCAGCAGCCCCGAGTTTATTCCACAGCTCCTGTTGATAGGCAAAGCTAAACAAGGCACATCAATACAAGGAAGGGGTTCGTGGAGCAGTCAAACTTGTGTCCTTAGACCACCTCGCTGTATAGCGAAAATGACCCAAGGTCACACAAACAAGTCAAAGGAGGTTTGCAAAACATCCTGTTTATCTCTGTCTCAAGGTCAAGGCCAGGGTGAAAACATTTTTTCACTGAATACTCATTAACAAAGCAGCTTGCCAAACAAGCAGCTTTCCACAGTTTTTGTTGTTCTAAATGTAATGTCTTGAACATTTTATGCATCCTTATCCTGTATTTGATAGTTTCCGTACTTGAAAGTCCTAGTGGGAGTGACGGTGATATACTTAAATCTCTGTTCTTTCCTGGCCTACGGTCATGTTGCTTTTTTTATCTTTGGTTTTTCCAGACAGGGTTTCTCTGCATAGCCTTGGCTGTCCTGGACTCTTGTAGACTAGGCTACGTTGAGATCCGCCTCCCTGATTTTTGGTATTACAGGCGAGCACCTCTGTACCCATCTGGTGAACTCTTACTGTGAACTTGTACTTACTTGGTCTTCAAGTGTGGGAGTATTGAGAGCCTGGGGTATATTTCCCAGAATGCATTTATGTCTTCTACTGCTAAGAGCCAGGGATTGCTACAGCATGGAACTGTTTACTGCCTGGTTATCCCAGCATTAAGAATTTCACTTAAATGATTCGAAGAAATACAGCACCAGCTTAAATTCCAGTGCATTGTTTCTATAACGAGGTAGGACTTAGGTCATAGGTTAATCCTAGTTTTGAGTCAGGGCATTTCCTGCTGTAGTGTGCTTCTGGTGCTAACTTAGGTAGGTCGTAGTGGGTTTTTGTTTTTTTGACAGGAACAGTGTGAGTGAGAGACAGTAGAACAAATGATGCTAAGAACTCTGCTCGGGCCTGGTGTGTTAGTGCACACCTTTAATCCCAGCGCTTGGAAGGCAGGGGCAAGTCCAGGACGCCAGGGCTCTGTTAATGCAGAGAAACCCTGTCTTGAAAAACCAAAAAAACAAAAGAACTCTGCGGGCATCCATCAGTCAACCTACCTGGTTCCAATCTAGCCTCTACCACTTGCATGCTGTGGCATCTGGGAAAGTTCTCTAATGTACTAAGCTTCATTTCTGTGACGTGGTCCATGATTATAAAAAATTGGCAATAAGAGTTCTTGATCCTGTATTAAAAAGTGCTCAGCAACCTGGAATATAGAGAGCTTAGCGGTGGAGGGCTAACCCAACATGGCCAAGGCCCTAGGCTCAACCTCTAGTACCAGGAAAAAACGATGGCTTAGCATTGTGTTGGCACAGAGAAAGCTGGCATACCCACGTCCTGGCAGGCAGTCTGTCTCTGGGTAGTGTGTACGTATGCTCACATGGCATGAATGTGTGTGTGTTCCTGCCTCAGTGTATGTGCAGGCCAGAGGACAACTTGAAGGAGTCCGTTCTCCTCGAACTGAGACTGTCAGCCGTGGAGTCAAGCACCCTTACCCACTGAGCTCCTCCTTTGTTTTTTGAGATGGGCTCTGACACTGTAGCTCTGGCTGACCTACAACTCCCTTTGTAGCCCAGCATAGCAACAGCGTTATAGCAGCCCTCCTGCCTCAAGCCTTCCTTCCTCCTTAGTGCTGGGGTTAGACGGTTGAAGCTTCACTTGCATTTGATGGCTTGGGAGTTGTATCTCATTAACTTCTCTATTTGTTCCATTATCTTGCTATTTCTCATTTGATACCATATCCTTTTCCATGTATAAACTAAAATTCGGTATTTACACCTTACAGTGTTATTATTTAAACTGTGTGATGATTTGATTGTAATTTACCCATGTTCATTAACCTTTCGTTTAGCAAGAATCATTTTGGGTAATAAATTATCCCAAAGTTTAATGTATAGGTGCTATGGTCTAGTAGTCCTTTCCTGACCGTGCAGGTCATGTATGTCTGTTTGGGGAAAACATAGAAAGCGTTCTGGAGAAAGTGGAAATCTTTTGTAATCGATAGCCTCTTTTCAGCACAGGAGCCAAACGAATACTCCCTCTCAGTCAGATCTTTCTCACTGGTTTCCACACCTCCCTGGTGTCCATATCTTTACCCAGGACTGTCTGATGCCCAGAGGCTCGGCCCTGGCTTCCTCTCCAGGCTCCTGCTATTCTGGCCTCTGCATTCCTTTAACATTATCCACCTCAGAGCCTTGGTGTGTGATCCTCTACCTCAGCTGCTTCTGCCCCGCACAACTAGAACGGTTCCCTAGTCTCTTCAGACCCTTGCACAGATGTCTACTTCTCAGAGGCCTCCTGGGCCGCACAGGCTGCGGTACACAGCACTCGTGCCAACACCCTTTGGCCCCCTTTCCCTTTAGAACGCCACTTTCTTCCAGAAGAGTGGCGCACACCTGTGATCTCTGCACTCAGAAGGCCACAGCAGAAGGAAAGTTACAGTTCAAGGTCAGCCTGGTGAACCTGTCAGTGAGACCCAGAGTAACAACAACAAAATCATGTTCTGAATGGGTTCTGTTTTTCTTTCACAAGAAAGCAGAGTCTGTCTTTCTTTTGCTGGAATAGTCTGTGAATCTAGAACAGTACATGGCACGTAGTGGTAAATGGTTTTGGAATAAATAAATTTGTGTTTATGTGTTTTTCATGTTTTCTTCTATTTCCTTTTGTATTTCTATATATGTATTGTGTGTTTATATTTAAACTATTTCAAAATTAATTTTTTCACTAATTTTATAAGAATGTGTTCATTCGATATAATTTTGTTTTCAACAATTTTTTTCCAATCTCTGCAGGAGGGCATATACAGCATCTCTAGGAGAAACGGCGGTGGCCTTTGACTTTGGGCCACTGGCAACCATCTCAAAGAATATATTTGGGCAAAAAGGCATAGAAGAAGTAGTGGCATACCCACTGTACATCCTCTATGAGAACGGGGAGACCTTCCTCACCTATGTCAGTCTGCTACACAGGTGAGGCAGGGCCAGTGTTTTTGTCTGACCATTGCTGACCTTGAGTTCCACATCTCTGTGTTTGAAGTATAAATGAGAAATGGTGCAGATTGTTTGTGTGTCCACTTCCTTGTTCATTTAAGGAAGTTGTATAGTTTAAGATAAGACGAACTTTGGCTCACAAAGTCTAGTGAACTGAAAGGGCATTGTTCGTGTCTCTGTGGAAACAAGGAAGCACGGCTATGATTAAGGTAGCCTGATATTGAACTTGTGGAGGAAAAGGCATGCGTACACACAGCCTATAAGGACTCATCCCTAAGTACCGGGACGCAGTAAGGAAGGAGACGTCATTTTGACTGCAGGAGTTAGGGAGTGTTTGTAAAGAACTGATGGAATGTAGGACTTAACATCTCGAGCACCAACGAACAGTAAAACCATTTCTGTTACAAGGGCGTCCTAGACTAGGGTGCTTACGCCCACACAGGTCCATGCTCAGTCCAGTGATTTGACATCTTGGTCTAGAGCAGTGAATTCAGGTTAAAACACACAAATACTGAGTTTAGCTTCATGTTTGAACATTGATGGAGTTACATACTTCGGTGAGGAAGATGGTGAGGTCTGTTAACAGGGTGGTTTCCGAGCAGAATAGAATGAGGAAGGACTGGAGTGTGTGTGCTTCTACCTGCTACACCCAGGGGTTTTTAACATGGAATTTGGAAGGACATGTTGAGAGGTAGAGAGCACTACCAGAAAAGAAATTGTTAGCGTAACAGTGTTAAGCAGCTGTGCGTGGCGGCACACATCTTTCATCCCACACTTGAGAGGCAGAAGCAGGCAGATCTCTGTGAGTTTGAGGCCAGCCTGCTCTATATAATGAGTTCCAGGACAGCCAAGGCTATGTAGAGAGACCCTGTCCTGTCTCAAAAAGAAGAATGTCAGGTAACAACAGTCAACCAGTGATAACCTTTCAATGCAGCAACTAGAATCATAAGTGATCTTTGCTAGAGTCCTATCAGTGGAGTAATAAAAAATGGAAACCAGGATAGATGTGGTCGTACATGCCAATAATTCCAGCCCACCAAAGACTGACACAGCAGTGCTGAGTTTGAAGCTAGCCTGGGCTATGTAATGGAACCTTGCCTTTTTTCCCCCAAGATTTATTTTTATTTGATGTGTATGAGTGTTTGCCTTCATATATGTGTGTACCACACACGTGCAGTGCTGACAGAGGCCAGAAGTGGGCCTCAGATCCCCTGGAAATGGAACTGTAGGCATTTGTGAGCCACATGTGGGTGCTGGGAGTCGAACCCAGGTCTTCTGCAAGAGTAGCCAGTGCTCTTAACCAAAGGACTCTATGGAGTCCTTTGTCCCTCTGTGTTCGTCCGGTGGTGGTAGTGATTACTGGAAATGGACGCTCCAGTGTTATCACCTCCAATAAATGCCAGTCATGCCCCCGGAATGTCAGTGCGACAGTCTACAGTGTCTTCAAAGGGAAAATGGCATTCACCTGGAACCCTAGCTCTGGGAGTTGTGACAGGAGCATCAGGAGGTAAAGGCAACCTAGATTACATGGACTTTGTCTGAAAGGAGGAAAGAAATTAAATAAAAATCTGGAATCTCTTCAGGCATTGCTATTTTCCTATCAAGGAAAATTATCTCAGATCAAGAATCACCGTTGTTGGAATGTAAGTGGGAAAATAAAAAATGAAGACCTTTATTTGAAGTTACAGTAACTGAAGGAAGACAAAAGTCAAGGAAGAGGACAGCTGCCTTCCGTCAGCATTTCCTGATGATGTTTTTATTCCTTTTAGCCCTGGGAATATTGGGAAGCTGCTGGGCCCGTTGCCTATGCATCCTGCAGCTGAAGATAACTACGGTTACGATGCCTGTGCTGTGCTTTGTCTGCCCTGTGTTCCCAATATCCTAGTAATCGCGACCGAGTCAGGAATGCTCTATCACTGCGTGGTCTTAGAGGGGGAAGAGGAAGATGATCCACTGGTAAGTGGCAGGCCAGTGTTGCTCCATCCCGTACATTAATGCAGCAGTTTTTCGTGAGCTGCTTTGAATGCGTAATGTGAGGGATTACAGCTCACACGTGGCACTTCTGGTATTTGGGGAATTATGTATTTTATAGAAGAATGATTGAAGCATAACTAAGAGTCCAAATGGAAAGAAGTTAGAAGATTGCCCGACTTAGGGCACACATAACTGTGTTTGTTTCTAACCTTTGTGTTAATTGGGTCACACTCTGCACCAGTGAGTTGAAGCTTCTGAACAGTGGGCAAGAGCACTGGCTGCTGGCCCTGGGTCAGTTCCTGACACCCACATGGTGGCTCACAACTCTCTGTAACAGTCCCAGGGCAGCTAACACCCTCCTCTGGCCTCTGTAGGGACCAGGTATGCAAGTGGTGTGCAGACACTCGTGGGTAAAACATGTGGGTGTGTTACTGAGTATATGGAGCATGATAGAAAAGAGAGAGCTTACGTCATGCTCATTTTCTTATTAACTTTAAAAATACATATTCAGGAAAAAGGCATCTGTGTGCTGGAACTGGAGTTAAAGTTGGTTGTTACATATCATGTGGGTTCTAGGAACCGAATGTGGTTGGTCTGTGAGAGCAGCCGGTACCCTTAACCTCTGAGCCGTTTCTCTAGCCGTGTTCTTTGGTTTTTGAGACAGTACTTCACTCTGGCTGTAGCTGTGTAGGCCGAGGTGGTCTCTGACTGAAAACCTCCCGCTGTAACTTTCCAAGTCAGTGCTGGGGTTACAGTGCTGTGCCAGGGTCCTGGCTAATGGTGGTTCTGGCCTCTGTAGTCTTTTCTGGTTTGGTTTCTTGCTATGTAGCCCTGCCTGTCTTTTCCTCAGGCTTCTGCTGTTTTTATTATTGTTTGAAGGATGGGGTGGGGAAAAATCAAACATTTGAAAGGACTATCTGACCCAGCTTTTTTGTTTCTATATTTGTGTACATTTTCAAATTCATAATAAGAGGCCAAAATTTCAGTCCTTTTCCCCCCCCCCCCCCCCCTTTGTGTTTTTAACAGGCAGAAAAGTCCTGGGACCCCAGGGCTGACCTTATTCCTTCTCTGTACGTGTTTGAGTGTGTTGAACTGGAACTTGCCCTGAAACTGGCGTCTGGAGAGGATGACCCCTTTGCTTCTGACTTTTCCTGTCCAGTTAAACTACACAGAGGTCAGGTGTTCGTTTACTTACTGTGTTTATACTGTTAGCTTTGGCTGCCAGGTGGTTTACTTACGTGTTCTCAGCTTTTGGAAAGGTAACTGGATTCCTTTGGAACTTTTAGTTACTATACAATACACTTTTCTGGGCAGACTGAAGTTTTAACAGCCTCATCTTCATTGTGGCTCCACTCAGATACTTAAGTCTTATTTTTTTGTTGTGTGTGTCTCAAGTTTGGTTACCAGAAGACAGCTTTCTATATGATTCTTTCCATTTTACACAGATTCTGAAGACCAGGCTTGCCTGGTGGGCACTTTACCCATTGAGCCACCTCACTGATGCCACCCAAATGTTTGACTTTTTCTGATCCTAACAAAAGTTGATCTCACAGCCTGCAGTAGAGGTACATATGTGTAATCTCAACACTGAGAAGGCCGAGTCAGGGGGTTCAGCGCCATCTCAGATTACACAGCAAGTTCAAAGCAGTGCTCCTTACATGAGAAGCTGCAAAGAGAATTCACTACAGATGTCTAGTTAGCATTTTGAGGAATATAAACATGAAATCTAAGAACTTCATAGATGAACACACAGGTAAAGTAACGTCAAGTATTTGTTTCCTTATAAAGATACACGTGTCTTGGTTACTGTTGTAGAGAAGACTGAGTCAGCTTTTATCAAAAAGCATTTAATTGTGGGCTTGCTTACCGTTCTGGAGCGTTAGTCCATTGTCGTCATGGCGGAAAGCAGACAGGCATAGCACTTACTACATAGAGAGGATTTGTTACGGGCTTACAGGTGGTCCAGCAATGGCTTTATCCCAGTGGAAAGTCCAGAACCCTGAAGTGGCTGCCCAGTCCATGAGGCTAGATGTCTCAGCTGCCCTCCCGTGTCCGCACCAAAGGAGTGGACGTTAATGTCAGGGAAGCAGGGCTGAAGCAAGCGGGCAAAAAGCCCAGCTTCTCTCCTCCTTGGCCTTTACATGGGCTGCCACAAGATGCTGCCCAGACTTCAGGTGGCTCTTCCCTGTTCAAACAATTCATTCAAGAAAAGTCTCTCACAAGTGTACCCAGTTGCTTTGCTTTTAAGTAACTCCGGATGTGGACAAGTTGACAGCCAAGGGCAGCCATCACAGCATGTCTTTGGAAATCTTGAGTGCAAACACTTTTCTTAGTTCTTCTAATGAAAGTAACAGTCTTCTGTGAAACTCACTTCTGACTTGTTTGTTTGTTTGTTTGTTTTCCAGTCAGGGTTTCTCTGTGTAGCCTTGGCTGTCCTGGAACTTACTCTGTAGACCAGGCTGGCCTCAAATTCACAGAGATCTGCCTGCCTCCGCCTCCCTGAATGCTGGGACTAAAGCTTTGCACCACCACACCTGGCTTCTGACATGTTCTTATCTGTGCTTAAGACATAATGTGGTCACTGAGCTAATACTTAAAATTTTTGTGACAAAATTAAAATGGCTTAAATGTGTTGGCCTCTTTTAAAAATAACTTTTCTGTTTTATCTCTGTATTAAAGTTTTTTTGTTTGTTTGTTTGTTTTCCTGTAGTTCTTAGAGATCAAAACAAAACTCCTTATCCATACAGGACTTTATCCAAGAAAAGTCAGTCCCAGAGGTCAGAGGGCCCAATGGGATAATGTCTTTTCTGCTGCGTCCTAGCTGTAGGATCTTAAGACCAAGTGTGTAGTGTGCCATTCCTAACCCTTACACTGAACAACTGGAAATAAATGTGAAAAGTATGAATGCTTTACCAGGTACAAAATATTTTCTGAAAACTACTTCTGGGGCCAGGTACAGTGGTGCACAACTTTAGTCCTAGCACAGGCAGAGGAAGGTATATGGTGTGAGATTGTAGATCAAGCCAGCCAGGACTTTGAGATACTGTCTTGAGAGAAGTAAGAAAAGAATAATATTTAGATTGTGTCTGTTGTTTTTAATACTTACAAATTTGAAAGTGGAATTTAGGTTAAAAAATTTTCAAGTCCCTGACAGCAGTGCACAACTATGAAAATCCTAGACAGCTGGTTCCATCACCATGTGTTTGTAGGCTACTGTGGTAGTGGCTACTTTTGTGTCTTTGGTGATCTCACTTGCAGATCCCAAGTGTCCTTCAAGATACCACTGTACCCATGAGGCTGGCGTGCACAGTGTTGGACTGACTTGGATTCACAAACTGCACAAATTTCTTGGATCAGGTGAGTTACTAACTTTCTGTATTTCCCAGTAGGTTTCAGAAGGTCTGACAAAATATACTTTGGAAATGAAAAAAAAAAAAAAAAGTAGAATCAATGAAACCAAACATTCCTTGGAAGGATCATAATCAGAATTGGTAAACCTCTAGAAGACCAAGTACTAGAATGGAGAGACTAAAATTCAGAAAACAAAGGGAGATCACTGTTAAGCTTACAGAAATTTAAAACTATAAGGAAAACCTGAATGTGGGAGTTAGAAGGCCTAGGTGAAATGGACAGACTTCAGAACTGACTGGAATAGAAGAGGTGGGAGTGGAGACCACATGCTTAAGACCACGTGATTTTACTTGTAAAACATTGATTCTTCATAGCTTCTCCCAAAAGATAGCGTTTCTTACCTCAACCTTCGACACCAAAACCAAAAAAAAATAAATAAACAAACCAGAGGCAAATATGTGTGAATGTAGACACAAAAAGTTTGACTCCAGAAATGCAGGCTTTCTCTGGCTCCAACACTAACATACATGTTAACAGGAAAATAGAATACAATGAGAAAGCCAAATGATCTTCTCATGTATAAAAAACACTTAGGAATATTTAACATCTTTTTTTGTTAAAAACAATCAAAAGGGCTACAATATGGCTCAGTGGCAGATCATTTGCCTGTCGTGTAGAAGACCTTTGATTTTAGCCCCCACACTACTTAAAACATCAAGAAACTACTTTTAGAAGGAAATTTCCTCAAAGTAATAAAGAGCACTGTGAGAACCTGGCAGTTAACACCGTGCTTAATGACAGACTGAAATGTTTTCTTTTTTAAATATATTTATTTTTGAGACTTTCATACATGCGTAGCATATTTTGATCATATTCACACACATAGACATACAACTCTTCTCAGATCCACTTCTCAAACCCCAACCCCTCTTCTAACCTCATGTCTTTTTGTTGTTTTGTTTTGTTTGTTTTTGAGTATAAATTGTGCTGCTAGGTTCTCAGGAATAGGGGCCCATGCATTAGAACGTGCTCACCTCCCAGGAGCAGTCCCCTGCGGAAACTGTTTGACCTCCCAGCAGCCGACAGCTCTCATGACTGCTCAGCTGGGGTCTGACTGAGGACGACGACACGTTACCTTGGAACATTGTCTACGCTTGTTAACCTCTATAACACGTCCTTTTGCAGATGAAGAAGACAAGGATAGTTTACAGGAGCTCGCTGCTGAGCAGAAATGCTTTGTGGAACACATTCTTTGTACAAAGCCATTGCCGTGCAGGTAAGGGCCTTCGTCACTCGTAAGAGTATCATGGTTATCTGGTATTTATCCAAAGCTCTGCTGTGCTTCAGGGACACCCCAGTTTCCTGTGTCCCCAACTCCAGCTTGCTACCTTCCCTGAGCTGTTTATTTTCTCATCTTAAATTACTTCTTCAGCAGTTCCTTTAATTCTCCAGTCTTATGTGGGGCTCTCTTTGTAGCACCTCTCTCTCTCTGTCTCATGTGTACATGCGTGTGTACATGAAGGCAGTCTGTTTCTCAGTTTTGTACCTGTTAACTCAGTGTATAAGAGTGCCCAGTTTATTCAACAATTGAGCAAATTGTTGATGCTAAAGAGGTGCATAGAATGGGTTCCAAGTTTCTTGTCTGGCCACATGAATAGCTGTGGTACCCTTTGGAAAGACCAGATATAGAAAAGCAGATTTTGGGAATCTGCAGTGATAACCCTCTAGAACATCTTAGAGGAACCTAATAGACGGTGGTGTGTGTGCGTCTAAAGTCTGGAATGGTCTGGAGTGGTGAAAATGTCTGCTTTGGAGCCATGTTTCTGACAAACATTGACCAGGAAAAGGCCTGGAGTCAGAAAAGGAGTCTTGAGAGAAGCAAGCCACACATGATTGTGACTAGTGAGAGAGCAGCAGGGCCCAGAAAGGAAACTTGAGAAAAGGGTTGTGAGCGTGGAGGAGAACCCCAAAGAGAAGCTGTTGATGAGAAGGACTGGAGAAGCACTGCCACGCCACAGAGAGGAGACTTGGCGGTCAGTGTACTGGAGGGATGGAGGATGACAGCGGACAGCTGGTTGATAGCGAGGAAACTGTCGTCTCTCATGGCTGGGAGATGGCTCTGCAGTGAACTGCAGGCGGTAGTACAGAAGACCCAGGTTCAATTCCCAGCACCCACAGCTCACAACCTTCTGTAACTCAAGTTACAGGGAATCCAGTGTTGTCTTCTGGCCTCCGCCAGCACTAGGCACACACTTAGTACACAGACACACATGCAGGCAGAACAACCAAACACGTAAGTATTTAAAATGAAGGCAGGCAAAGACATGACAGTGTGAAAATGGGACTAGTGATTCCTTTATGGAGAAGGGTGGCTGTGACCAGGCTCGGACATGGAGTTCTATGGCTGCTGCTGTCTCCTCCCTGTCTTCAAGGTGCTGTAATTGAACCTCGGGCCTTGTCCTGGGCAAGCTTGTGTCGCTGAGCTATAGCCTCGGTGCTGCCTTTTAATTGTTGCCCTGACACTGGGTACATAGTATACATGCACAGCTTGTCTATGGATTCCACACTGATAGCTGATGAGATGTATAGACTTTGGTTATTTTAGTGTGACGTTTATTTGAAGGTTTTTTTAAGACCTATAAATGAAAGCTTTCTGGTTTTTGTTTTTAAAGAAAAAGGGATGAGGAGGTGGGTCGGCAGTGACAGCACTTGCTGAGTGAGCTTGAAGATCTGGATTCAAACCACTAGGTAGATTTTAAAAGCTAGTTATGGTCAAGTCCTGAGCCCTCCTCTCTGTGGTAGGAGCAGAAACAGGAGAGCTGGGATGTGCTGGTTGCCAGCCTAGCTCAGCGAAACCCTGGCTCAATGGACTAAAATAAAGCTGTGCCTACACATAGGTGTGTGAACAGGCACGCGTGTGTATGCTACACACTCCTATATGATTCCTGTTACAGAATAAAGAAGAGGTTAAGGGGAGCCAGACAAGCTCCAAGGGGAGCACAGTGAAGCGTCCATAAAGCCACAGCAGGGAATGTTTTGAATAGACAAAGCATGAGCTTGTCTGTAAGCTGAGGGGTACATAATGGGAGACTTTGAAACTATACAGTTGATGGCACGCCTCAGATGTGACAGGAAGTGGCACTGACATTAAGGTGCAGAAATGTGGTTATAGACATGCAGACCAGTTAATAAGGAATATTGGTGGGGACAGTAGTTCCCATTTATATCCCATGGTCCCCCCCCCCCATGACAGGAAGTAGGAAGGAAGCGACGCCATGCACACAGGCTGAGACAAGGCGGTCCTGTGGCAGGTGCTGGGTCACTGGTGTGATAGTCCAAAGCCCTGTTCTTTAGGTTGCTGAGCCGTCTGTAGGCGCGGTAGTGGGTTCTTTCACCGAGATAGGCGGGCCTTATGTATATGTACATGCAGGCTGTGTCCCTGCGTAACTGTAAGTGGGAGTTTGGTTTAAACTATAGCCATGTTTGTGGTGGTCAGGACGTCATGGGCCCCAAAGCCATGGACTCTAGTGTCCCTGCTGCTGGTGCGCTTGCTGCTTTGTAACCTGACTGTGAGCCTCTCTCTCCAGGCAGCCAGCTCCAATCCGAGGGTTCTGGATCGTCCCGGACATCCTGGGACCCACGATGATCTGCATCACCAGTACCTACGAGTGTCTCATACGGCCGTTACTGTATGTGCATTCTCTTCTCCACACAGCTCCCCTTAATTCTGCCAAAGCAAAGCTGGGGAGAGGCCCTTAGTGATTAGAGGCTGTATGGTGTGTGCTTTGCTTTCTCAATTCAGTCGGGATTTTGACACAAGGCATTTCAGGCATATTGGTTTTTTGTTTGTTTGTTTTGTTGTTCTTTTGGTTTTTTGGTTTTTGTTTTGTTTTGTTTTTGGTTTGGTTTTTTTTTTTTTTTTTTTGGTCTTGTTTTGCTGTCTCATAACTGAGAATCAGTTTTTCTCTTCTGTTTTGAGATAGGGTCTCGGTGTGCAGTCATACTGTCCTAGAGCAGTCCCACCTGATCTGAGGACTACAATTGTGATTCCCTGTACCCAGCTACAGAGAGGACCGAGGTGCTGAAATCCACTGTTGATAGGATTTGATGACCGTTGCATGTCAGGCTCAGATCCTGCCTGCTTTCCTGGCCACATGAGAAGTCCCTAAGGAATAAGACACTGACCTGTGTGTCATAGAGGAAGGTTAAACAAGTCACAGGTTATGCCCAATTCCAGTTCAGGTGACGGGCTGTCTGCTCCCAAATGCTGTACTTTCCCTCCCTCTGCCAGCCACAGAGACAGCAGAATATGCAAACTCTAGGGAAACAGTATAAAGCTGAGTTCATTTTCCGTTTCTAGCTGCCTTGGCAGGTCAGGTTTTATTTATGTAGAAACCAGGGTGTCAAACTTGAGACCCTTCAGTCTCTTGACGTCCAGAAGTCACGGTGAGGTTGCATCAGCACTGTCCTCATCCTCTGAAGAATAAAGACCGAGTTTGCAGACTCCCTTGGTCTGACAAGGAAGCAATAACATGGGTAGAAGTTTTATGTTGCCTTAAAATACTCACTAGGAAGAGGCTTGCAAGGGCAAAGCCTCAGCAAGTCAGAGTGCGTGACACTGACAACAGAACCCATGTGATGTAGAGAAAACTCCCCTGCAGGTTGCCCTGTGCTGTGCTGTGCTCTGTGCACATGCACATAAATAATACGTAAACAACAAACTGTCAGGGCTTACCATGTTTTTATACAATTTTTATATAATCCATTTTATACATACCTTTAGTGTTTTAAAAAGCCTGGTCATGCTCTTTGGATAGTAAAAACATCAGTCTTAAAGCAGGGAGAAAACTCTTAATTGTCCGGATACTTTTTAATCATATTTCTGCCAACTGCCCAAAATACAAGTCGTCTGTATATTAACACTACTATTTACAAAGCTCTTCCAGATTTGAATTGTTGCCTTCAAAGTCACTTATGTGCTGTTGCTGAAGATATCACAGCCCTCCCAGCTTTCTGGGAGATTGCCTTGGAAGTGTTTGCCTTTGAGTATCATTTTTATAAACCAAGTTATGTAGAAGCAAATGGTAGTCAGCAGTCAGCCTGGCCACACACCAGCTTTTGTCAATCTACACGACGGTGCCAGCTCAAGCCCTTCCCAAGAAAAGGGCCGTGGGATTTATATTTTTGAGTTGCCTTGATCTCAGAAAGTTTTAAGAAAGAATCCGTAATACTCAAATGGCAAGATCAGACGTCCCCAGGATGACCGTTCAGGACAGAACACACGTTCTTGTACTCTTACGAAGGTTGTGTGCCTTTTAGGTTCTTGGGTGTAGCTAATGACCACGTGCTGTAGTCCGACAGCTAACTAACTCCATGGTGGACCTGGCTTGTTCGTTTTGCAGAAGTACAGTCCACCCGGCATCCCCTCCCCTGCTGTGTACCCGAGAAGACGCCGAAGTAGCAGAGTCTCCACTGCGGATTCTGGCCGAAACCCCGGACTCGTTTGAGAAGCATATTAAAAGCATCTTGCAACGTAGTGCCGCCAACCCAGCATTTCTCAAGTACAGTGTCTGGGGCATAGGAGTTTTAGGAACAGGCTTTTTCCTTAGAAATGGATAGGGGATCTCGGGCTTTGTGCTTGCCAGCAAGTGTGCGTCCTTGCTTTTGGGTTTTTTTCCTGTCCTTCCTGTGGTGCAGAGGGAGGGGACATGGCACATCTCGTCATCAGAGGGTCAGCAGAGGCAGCTGAGAAAGTGCTAGAAGGGGTGGTAGAAAAGCTGGGGCTTGACTATTTGGTTGTTTTACTTGGCCAATGAGAACAATGACAAACTGTTCCGAAAGGTCATCTGAGAAGGATCTGGCTCCGCCTCCTGAGGAGCGCCTTCAGCTTATCAGCAGAGCCACCCAGGTGTTCCGAGAACAGTACATTCTCAAGCAGGACCTGGCCAAGGAGGAGATTCAGCGGAGGTAGAGTCCCGAGTGCACAGCCTGCGTGCACAGCCTGCGTGGGGTGGCTCTCGGCAGTCCTCTGCCAAAGCCTGGCTGTCCTTTAAACCTCACTGCTGCTGCTGCTTTTCCAAGGGTCAAGTTACTATGTGACCAAAAGAGGAAACAACTAGAAGATCTCAGTTACTGTCGAGAGGAGAGGTAGGTATCAGAGCAAGAGAGAACAGTGGGGCGCAGTGCAGTGTCGCTCAGGGCGCTGCGCCACATCGAATGGACCCCAAGAGCCGCTCACTCCTCCAGGAAAAGCCTCCGGGAGATGGCCGAGCGCTTAGCTGACAAATACGAGGAAGCCAAAGAGAAACAAGAAGATATCATGAACAGGTCAGTGGGCCACAAAGGCCCCTGCTCAGGGTTAATGGTGTTACCCAGCACTCGGGTCCCGCCAGTGTTCCCACACCTGTAACCCGCCATCAGGCTCAAGTGTTAGGAAGGATGACACAGCCCCTCCTCTAGGCTCGCTCCTCAGACTTCAAAGTCTTGAATTATAAACTTTGTGTTTCTCCAGTAATACACAGTCTTAACTCGCATTCCTCTTCGTTTTCCTAAGGATGAAAAAAGTGCTTCACAGTTTCCATACTCAGCTCCCAGTTCTGTCCGACAGCGAGAGAGACATGAAGAAAGAGCTCCAGCTGATACCTGATCAGCTTCGACATCTAGGCAATGCCATCAAACAGGTAAGAGTGGGGCAGGGTGGCTAATCCAGGCAACATCTCTATAAAATGTGAACAGTAAACTAGATGCTCTGATGTGTGGCAAGCCATAGTCAGAAAATACCCATGTTCTGTTTGATACTTGAGGTTACTATGAAAAAGGATTATCAACAGCGAAAGATGGAAAAGGGGCTGAGTCCTCAGAAACCCACCATTACTCTCAGTGCCTACCAGCGAAAGTGCATTCAGTCCATCCTGAAGGAAGAGTAAGTGGACGCTTTCCGTCAGCTAGGGGTGGACAGTTTTCCTTGGCATTTGCCTGGGGAGGGGGGCTTGACAGACAGGCTTAATGAGCATGCTGTGATGCAGAATAGCGGCTCTCCTTTGAGGTGATTTGTTGTGTAATCAAAAGTGCATCTTGGTCATGGCTAGCAGTGTCCCCAGGGCTGACACAGCAGGCTGACACCCTGACAGTGGCACCCAGAAAACCGCTGCTGTCTACCTGGAAACTCTTCAAGCTATTCAGAATTAGCAAAGCTATTCTTACAGAGTGTAAATTCTTAGGACTCGGCACAGTCCCAGATTCGGGAGGCAGAGGCAGACAGATCTGAGTTTCAGGCTAGCCCTGGGCTACAGAGTGAGTTCCAGGACAGCCAGGGCTACACAGAGAAACCCTGTGTTTGGGTGGGGTGGGGGAAATCTTAAAATTCAGTACTAATGGTTCCTGTCGTTCACTTTTGTAAGTGAGTCGTTTGATGATTTTCCAGGGGTGAGCACATAAGGGAAATGGTAAAGCAAATCAACGACATCCGAAACCATGTCAACTTCTGACGCCATCTGAAGTCAACAGAGCTGAAGGCTTACAATCCCGTGCTGTAAAACCAGCAGGTAGCACTATCTGTCTAATTTATAAAGCAGCATTCTGGATAAACTTTGGTGTGGTTATTTTATTTTGTTATTCCTTTTATAGTATTCGAATAAATTTTTATTCAAAAAATTGACTTTGCTTTATAAAGACTATGGGTTTTTTTGTTTGTTTTAATTCTGGGACACAGCTCCTGCTGCATGTTGCCAGGTCCATATTGAAGACTAATAGTTGCATCTCAAGTAGTATCAAAACTTTGCCTCTGAAGGGCACCAGAGCCCTAGGATGCAAAGGAAGAGGCCACACAGCAGCAGCTCTTTTCTGAACACTCTTAAGGTCAGGCCTTCAGTACAGTTAGACAGGTGCTCCTGCAGTCCCCTCAGAGCACAGCTGAGGTGTTCAGCTGCAGCGTCCCCTGCCGGCTCCCTCCCCTCCAGAGCTGCATGTGTGTGTGTCTGTCTAGGCCTTAGAGGAAGAAAGACTGCGGTCTGCCCTGCACATTAGTTCTTGGCTTTGGGTCCCCTCATACCTGCTGGTTGGACTACTGAAAGCTACGTACACGTCCAGCCTGTAAACCGAGACCGCCAATGAAAAGCCACATCATAAGCTGTGTCACAGTATAGCGGAGGCAAGCCAGGTTAGACAGGCAAGAAAGGTGTTTCCGCTCAGGGTGTAAAGCAGATCTCATCTGTGCAGAAGACTAAGTTTAAAAAGCCATTTCCTACCCGGTGCTGTGGCCGCAGTTTATTTCATACAGCCTAGCACTTCAGTTCCTCTTCCTGTAGGATACATTTCTCAAGGGAGTAAATCCCAGCGGTTTGCATTTGCCACAAGTACAGACTGAACATCCGCTAATCATACGCCTTCGTTGCTCAATGCCCAGCTTTATGGAGAAAGTATCTGTAAGATATTTGGTCTCAGCAGAACAGTTCACTGGGAGTGACACCGTTCAGACAGCCATCCATTGTGGCCCACAGTGGTCCAAAACAAGTTAGCTTGGGGCCCAGGGACTAGTCCTAAATCTAATTTAATCCCATTATAACTGATAAAAATCCTCCCTTTACCTCAATGAGGAAATTCTGTTCCTCTTAAACCAAATAGCACTGTATTCCGGGGGACTTCAAGCCAGTCGTTTCCATGCACTGGCAAACCTTTAGCACTATTTCTGTTAAGCGTACTTTCAGTCAGGAACATGACTATAAAAAATAACCTATGGGGGGGGGGGGGTAATGAAGGCTTTCTCTGTTTTATTAAAAAAAGAAAACAGCCAAGATCTTGAGAGCAAATCCATAATGACTCATTACTGAAACAGTCCACTTATGCTATGAACTGATAGGTGGTTAAGCCAGAACAGTCTACTCATTCCCATAATGTTCTTTTGGGTGCCAGCCTACAGCTGGCACCACCCACGAAAATTATTTGAAAACATTCTTACTTTGAAACTGCAGGAGTTAAATAGCATAGCCAGCTGTGCACTGGCTCGCTCAGGGTAGCCCATGGCTGTCAGGTTGTCCATGAGCACACTTCTGTTTTCTGGACCACCTCATGAAGCTGTCTGGGCTCCAGCCTGTTCCACTGGCTGCTTCTCCAAGGAATCTCAACTACTGGAAAAGGGTGAGGCAGATCTAAACAAGTAGGTTAGTTTCCCCAGCTTCACATAAGTGTAGTCCCTTACACTTTAGGTCTAAACTGTAAAACAAAAATACAAACCATCATCATTCTGTATGTGACACTTTAAATAGTATGCCTCTGAGGCAGGCTGAAAACAAGCAGATTTATACATGTGTACTAGATGTCAGAGATAGCTTGTTTTATTAATATTACTTTTTTCCACTGATCCAGTAACTAAAACACTTCGGAAAGGTAGATGGCGCCAGTTCTCCTTTGCCCTGGTACCTGTGGGCCCAGGAAATTCATCCTGGTGTGCAGAAAAAAGTGCTTCCAAGGTTTCTTGTGCTTTTTTTTTTTTTTTTCCTTAATTTCCACTTCCTATATATAATTTGGCCTCAGCCACGTGTTCGGATTCTCCTCATTTTGTTGACTTGCGTTCTTGCGTTTGTTTGCCATGGTCCTATAGTTCTCAGGCAAAGTTTCAGTAGCACATAAGGTCCTCCACAGAAGATGAAATGGTAAAAAGGAAAAAAAAAAAAAAAAAAAAGCACTGAGCAAGGGAAATACAGTCAATAGCCAAGGGCCTGCTCTCACACTTGATATTTTAATATAAAATACTCATACCGCACTACCCTCTGCTAGCTGAACACTGCTACTGGTGAGCCCTAGACAACAGGGGAAAAACCTACTCTCCCAGTTTGTATGAACAGAAAACATAATCCAAATGCTCTCAGGAAGTGGCCAGGAAATGTGTTCCAGAATCCACGTTGGAGAATGCAGACAAGGAAACGACTTTTCTGGCCCGGCATCGGACCCCACGCCTGTTGGAATCCAGTCCGGTGTCTCGTTAGTGTTCCCTTTGAAAGGTCTGTTGGCTGTCCCTGCACACGGCAGCCTTCTCCCTCCAGAGCTGCATTTCTCCAGTCTTCCTTTCGCTGTGACTTCTTCCATTAAGAGTTAAATAATAATGTTATTCTAAAGATGAGTTAAAAACCCAAAACACAGGTTAGAACCCTGCTGGCAGGGCGTCATGTCTCGGGGAGCTGGTTAATGTCTGTCAGTTTAGTGTCATTGAGAATGGCCCGGATTCTCTCCAAGGAGTCTGCCTGCCGGATCCTCTCCAGCTGCACCTGGAGAGAGAGTGTGGAGATGACACGTAGCAGATTAAGTCACCAGATTAGGCTCTCAAAAGAGGAAGAAAAACTGACCAAACTCATCAATCTATGTAACAGACTGGACCCTCTGCCCCTCCAGTGTCCCCTCAACCCGTTTATACTCTTTAGGCAAAAACTGGGGAAGGGGAAGGGGCCCATGTCTGCAGAATAGCCCAAGCTCCTGGCTTAGTATCTGAGGTAGAGACAGGCAATCCGAGACTCCAGCTACACTGGTGCAGGAGGCCAGAGTGGTTCCCCAACAGCTCACCTGAAGAGTCTGAGACAGTTTCACAAAATCTCTCTGGACTTGTTCACTGACATCTAATTCTGTCTGTAACCTCTGAGCTTTGTTCTTCTCTTCAAACATGAGCTGTTCAACAGTAGCCTAAAAGACACAAGTTTTGAGTGAAGATTAATGCTAAAGAGCCAGAGTTCCTAGACCTCCTGAGGGACCTCAGTCACTCACTAGAGGAAGCGGTGTTGTCTCTTCCTGGACTGAAGCCAGGGCCAGGGCTGGAAGGAGGCAGGGCCTCCCCAGCACCAACCGCATCGCCAACCCTCCCTATTCCTACAGCAGAGGCCTGAGCGATAGCTGCCTGTCCCAGTCACCTTTTTAAATTGTATGTTTCTGCTGATGGGGGGTGTGCTACAGCACACAGAGGTCCCCAGGACACGCTGCAGGACTCAGTCCTACCATGTGGGCCGCAGGCAGGCCCTCAGCTGCCTCACTGGTTCCCACCTTGGTTTTCTCGACAGGGTCTCCTGTAGCCCAGACTAACCCCTGACCTTGCTCTACCGCAGCAGAGATCCACCCAGCTCCCTGCTCGGATTACAGCTTGTGCCAACATACCCAGTTTTCTGCAGTGTTGGGCATCAAAGCCCAGGGACCGCTGCAAGCTGGGCAAGCACACTACAGACTCAGCTTTGTCCCCTTCCACTGACTGTGTGTGGAGCAGCGTGGACAGGGAGGACTTGGGAGGTCAGGAGACAAGTGTAGGGAGCTGGCTCTAGCTGGCTCTCTCCTTCCACTATGTGGGAAGAGATAGCCACTATCTGGTTATCAAGCTTGGCAGCCAGCACCTGTACCTGCGGATCCCTTCCCCCACCCACGCTCTTTTCACAGCCCAGGGCTGTCCATGCTCTCGGAATGAAAGCTAGGATAAGAAATGTATTCAAGTACCGTGTCCTTGATCCCAAGATCAACAGCTGCCATAGCAACAGGGATGGGCACTTAAAAAGGAAGTTTCCTGGACACTCATGAGCATCAAACATCTAGTTAACATGTGCCCCAAAGCCCCAGCGATCTCCAGCCTCCTTAGTGAAACTCATGGGAACCTTCTCCTAAAGCAGAAGTCTACTGAGTGAGTCTACTCAGACCATGTCCAGGCATTGGTGTCCCCCACAGTCAGCCACGTGTATTTTTATTCTGTCAGAGTCAAGGTCATCTGAACCTGCCTCAGTGCAATCTTAGCACCTGCTGTAAGGATGGAATGAAGTCCTGTTTTCAAGGCAGCCCCTGCATTCCATCACTGGGAACTGAACCGAGGACCTCAAGGCAAGCAGTCTACCACTAAACTACATACCCCAGCCCCAACCCCACCTTTTCAAACTTTTGGAGACAGATCCAGCGAAGTGGCCAAAGCTGGCGTCAACCTACCTGGCGCTCTTTGGAACTAGCAACCCTCACACCCGGCCTCTGAAGACAACTGCAGGCAGGCCTGCACCGCCCAGCCCAGCGCAGGCGATGCTCTAAAGACAGAACTGCAGGCAGGCCTGCACCGCCCAGCCCAGCTCAGGCGATGCTCTAACACAGCACTGCCCAAGTCAAGCTCAATGTGTGCTTATTTTATTTGACTCGTATATATGATTATATATTTGCATATGTGTATGTGCACTGTGTGTCTGCCAGAAAATATGCCAAAGCTAGAACTGAAGTTAAAGACAGTTATGAGCCACCATGTGCATGGCGGGAACTGAACCCAAGTCCAGTACAAAAGTAACCAGTGCTCTTAACTACTGAGTCAGCTCTCCAGTTCCAGGTTCAAATTTCTTTTCTTTTTTTTTTTTTCGAGAAAGGGTGACTCTGTGTAGCCCTGGCTGTCCTGCACTCACTCTGTAGACCAGGCTGGCCTTGAACTCACAGAGATCCACCTGCCTCTGCCTCCCAGAGTGCTGGGATTAAAGGTGTGCGCCACCACTCCTGGCTAACTACTAATTGAAGCCATTAAAGCCTATGACCTAAGCCCACAAAACTGGCAGAGGAAGACTTAAACCAACTCTAGGACATTAAACCTTTTTTTTTTTTTTTTTTTTTTTTTTGGCAAGTTGGTAGAAGCTACAAACAGCAAAGTTTGTTTTCTTTTAAATCATATTCTCTTTATGTGTATAGGTATTTTGTATAAATATATATATATATTTTTTTTTTATATTTATATACACCATATACTGCCAATGCCCATGGAGGCCAGAAGATGACACTGGATCCCCTGGTGACTGGAGTTAAAAATATGTATGTGCTAGGAATTGAACCTAGGTCCTCTCAGAGTCGCCAGTGCTCTTGAACACTGAGCCACATCTCCAGCCCCCTTGGTTTCTGTATTTTTTCCGTTTGCTTGAGAAGGTCTCATTATATAAACTAGGCCAGCCTTGAACTCGCAGATCTGCCTCTCCCGCACCAGCGCTGGGATTAAAGGTGTCTGCTACCATGCCTTAGCCTTGCTTTTTAAATTAAATGATCAACAAACATAATTACCTTGGCAGTAGTTTCTTTCTTTAACTGTTCCTCTAAATTAACTTTTCTTTCTTGGAGACTCTCAAGCTGTTGCGACTTCTCTCTTAATGTAGACTCCAACTGTGAAGTCAAACAGAAGACGGAGGCTCAAAGACCCGAAGTCCTCGCAGCCCTCTCTAGAGCTGTCTGCAACCCCGAGTACCAGGCCCAGACGCGGGCTTGCTCTTGGCTGTGCCTGGAATGTTCTTCTCACACTTCAGAATGAAGATTCTTCTTTAATTCCAGACCTGGTCTTTACCTACTTATTAGGTACCTACCATACTCTAATTCTAAGGCCTAAACCTAAAAGTCAGGAGACACAGACATGGAAATAAAAATGCACACCAACATACAGGGAGCAGCACTTAATTCAGGAAGAGGAATAGGACAGTGTTTTCCAGATGGTGACTGACTTTTGCTTTGGGGACTTGTGGGGTGAACCAGGGTCTCAGAGGCCAGGCAATCACACTACCGTTCATTCCACCCCAATTCCTTTTGAAACAGGGCCTTGCTTTTGTTCAGGCTGGTTCTGAACTTGTTCTGAGCTCTGTAGCCTAAGCGGGCCTTGAATCTGTGGTTCTCCTATTTCCTCTGCATCACCAGCACAGATTAACATTTTCATGGGGGAAGGAAAGGGTGACAAGGGAAAGAAAATAAAGAGATGTTCAAAAAAATCAGAATGTCTGCCCTGCCCAAGGACGGTGATCTCTAGCCGTCCATGGAGTGTGGGGCTCTAGAGTGTTGAGAGCTGAGGGGAGCAGTCGCTACACTGCCTACAGACCTGTCCTCCTGCTTGACGGGACGGCTAAGACTTCAGAGATGGAGACAGCCTGGCTTCAACACAGAGATGAGCTGGAACAGGCTCCAGTTTGGAGCCTCTTAGGAAATAAGCTGTGACCACAGGGAAATGAGAAGAGACATCGAAGAGCTGGGGTGTATCCCGGGACAGCCCCGATATAGCATGTGCAGGAGTCCATTCCCCAGAACCATAAAAAACAAACAATCAAACAAAAAAAGTGCAAAGTGAAGTCGTGAGGACACGGCACATCTGGGCCTGGCCCTTCTCTCCGTGCTAGGACAGCTCCTCCAGGCCTCAGCCCTGGTCGCCTCTGTGTGCGATCGACTATGCGGGGAAAGCAGCGCTTCAAGTGCAGGTGGAGGGCAGCATTCCCCAGAACCTCAGGGGACTAGTGACTTCCTAGAGAGATGTGACCCAAGGAGAAACTTCCTCGTTTTCTTTTCAAAGGCAGGTTTCCTATGGACCACAGGCTAGCCCCAAACTTGAACCCTCAGCTTCTCAAGTACTAGGCTTACAGATGTGTCACCACCACCCCCCCCTCACGGCTTCCCTCTTAATGGGAAACAGCTGGGCAACTTTGTCCACAGTGGGAGAAAGATGGTTAAAAGCTAGACAACACGGAGAGGTCAGTCAAGGTGCTATCCTAGACTGTGTGAGAAATGGGCCATCACCGATCTCAAACGCAGGAAAGGCCGACAACGAAGGAGGCAAGCGTGAGGGGCCCGGGCCACGGCGGCCCTGTCTGATGGCTGAGTATGCAGGTACTCAGGAGAGAGCGACTGCAGGGGCCACTGGAAAGAGTCAAAGTCGAATCTTAGGACAAATGAAGGCTGCCCGGGAACACTGGAGCCCGTGATGGCAAGGGCACGGGGTGCCACCAATTCTGGTAGCACTGGTTTCTTGAAACCACAGGCCAAACCAGACCTAGGCAACAGTTGAGTGAGGGGATGAGAGTGTGAGCTGGACGCCAACTAAATAGCTCTGCAAGCTGTGTAAGGCACAGCTTCGGAGAAAGAAAGCAAAGCCAGGAAGGCATTGCTCCAAATTTAGGGAACCAGAAGAGACAGCCAAGTAATACAGGAAGACACTGGAGTCAAAGACAAAGAAGCAATGTGTGGAAGCAGCCAGTGTGGGAAGCAGGCAGCGCTGGGGTCAAAGGTCTCTCATGAGCATGGGCTCATCAGCATACTGCTGAGGCCAGTTAGGAAACTGCGAGCCCTGACTGAAGAAGCCAGGCTGAGCTCTTCTCCCTCTAGTCTCTGCCCACCACCACGTGGCCCAGCACAGAGCAGGTTCTCAACGCCGTTCCCACGGGCACAAGTTTCTTAAAAGCAGGGATTATGCCTTAGCTGTCTTCATTTCTTTGTTCTAGCATAGGATTTAACAAGTAACCCCTGGGTGTTGAGAGAATTAATTTTAAACTTGTGACTCACCTGTCCCTTTTCAACTTTTATTCTTTCTAATTCAGCTTTTAGACTAGAAATGGAAGCTAGGACAAAAGGGAGAAATATTAGCAATCATTTATTACTTTTTCTTTTTTTTTTTTTATTAAAATGTCCCCAGGAGAGCCAGAGATGCAGTGTGGAGGAAAGTGCTCTCTCTCTCTAAAACTACCCCAGAGAACTGACATTGCCAAGCTCAGGGAGAGGCCACTACAGGCGCACACTGTCACAGTCTCAGTTTCCACCAAACGTCCATATCCAGCCATAGGAGAGCACCGCGGTCAGCAATGAAGCTCTGTGCAGACATACTGCTCGCCTGACCTGCTGCCCAAAGGCCCACGGCTCCATTGCTAACATCAGGGCTCATAGAAGGACGGGTCTGGGCTTCAGTTACTGCAGGTCTGAGCGCCATGGGCAGCTGCTCTGTTAGCCGTCTGTCCCCCACGTCCACAATCATGCACTAGCCTCACACAGGGTGCTCACTGATGAACTTCTTACTGTCAGCTGCTGTCTGAGCCAGGGCCTCCTGGATGCTCGGCCTCTAGTCTCCCCGTCCCCGGCTGGCAACACACAACAGAAGCTGTGTCCCCACCCCCAGGCGACACTGCTCTCCTCACCGATCTCCTCCTTGCAGTTTTCTATTTCCAGCTGTAGTGTCTCTTCAAGGTTTTCTTTTAAGCACTGCTCTGCTTGAATCTGCTCTTTCAGAAAAAGTATTTCTGCCTTCAGCTTCTCTTCCATGTGGTCTGCTGCCGTCCGCACGTGAACGATGTTCTCACGATACTTTAACACCAGTTCCCGGAGCACCTGGGTTCAGTAGACAAGGGGTTACTGGATTTGTGAAAGTGAGAGAAACTCAAAGATTAAGTTGCAAAGGATTCAGTTATCCCTACTGTGAATCTCGGTGAGCACACAGGGCTCGGAAAGCATATGCTCTGCATATCAACATTCAACATGGCTGAAAAGCTGTGCTGTGAACTATATTTTCCCCTCAAAGTTGTTTTATGAGCAGAAGAAGTAAAATGTTAGGTAACAAAATTCACTAGGCATAATGCTTTCATAAAAAAAGAAAACTCAGGAACAAGTCAGGAAAACTACATTTAACTTACCTATTCACACATTCAAATGCTCACTGAAACTCTCCTTAAGCAAAGTACTATGTCAGGTAAGTAATAGCTCCCCACACACACACCCCGAGAAAAAATTAGTTTCAGTTTTATTTTGCTGAGACAGGCTGGCCTCAAACTCACAGAGCTTCACCTGCGTCTGGCCCCAAGTGCTGGGATTACAGGCCCCTGCCAGTTTCTGGCATTTTCCCCCCAAATTTTAATCTTTTAGAAAACATAATCATATCCTACAGCAAACCCAAACTGGCATTCCCAAACAACTTTCTAAGTAATTACATTTACCTAGATTAGGGACGGGGCTTACCTATGTTTCCAGGCTGGCCTGGAACTCCCTACGCAGCCCATCTGGCTTCAAATTCATGAACCTCTGCCTCAGTCTCTAGAGTGTTGAGATTGCAGGCAAGCACCACCATGCTCATCTTAGATAGCTTTTAAATCTAGGAATAAAAATTTCTCTAGAGAACAGAACAAAGAACTCTTTCCAGCCAAAATGGAAAGTTTTACCAGAGGTGAAAGTGGTGGCAAAGTTATTTAAAGCTCGTGGCAAAAGGCACAAGTTTCCCAAACCTTCTGTATCGGCAATCACCAGTTAAGAAAGGAGAGCGAGCTTTCCGGAGAGTGCCAGGTCTGGGCTAGACCACAGCTGAGGGCACTGGGGGCACAATAAACAACTGTGTCTTTAGAAGTAAACAACAACAAACCACTAGTAGCATGTTACTGTGTACACAGAGAAAACTAGGCAGAGCTGAGGTCTGGTAGGATTTAAGGAAAGATGGGATCACAAGAAACTCACTTATAAAAAGATACATTTGTTATATTTGATTTTCTTAACTTTGAGACAAGAGTCTCATTGTGTAGTGCAGGCTACCTAGAACTTACTATGTAGTACTGCTTGGCCTCAAACACACAATAATCCTCCTGCCTCAGTCTTCCAAGTGTTGGGACTACAGGGCCAAGACACTATAACCAAGTCATATTTAATGTGTAAATAACTTTAAGCAATAAAGGTTTTCGTTCACGACTTTATTTTTGCACAGTGAGTGTGTGGCCCTGGCGTGCGGCGTGTGTGAAGAGGGCTCCCTCCAGCCTGTGCGTCCTAGGGGCCGTCTGGCAGGCTCCGCAGCAGCACTCTTCACCTCCCGAGACACCTCACCAGCCCAGACTTTCTTTTTAAAAAACAAAAGAAGAAAGGGATCCCACAAATAAGATTCCCTTATTTTGTCTTAAAAATTCCTCTAAGAAATCTCTATCTAGGGAAACATCGAGTCTGAGGGTTGGAAGCCTAAAAAGGTTTTTGTTTTTTTATTGTTGAAAGATTTAGAAATATATAGTTACAAAGTCTGAGTAGTTAAGAGAGTAATTTCCCTACCACAAAAGAAGGTCAGTGGCAATCTCTACAGGCAGAAAGACGGCGAGTGTAACATAACTTAAACTCTACCCCGGAAGCGAGTGCCACAAAGAACCAAGCTGGCTAACCAGAGCATACGGCTTGTTCTGCATCTGTTCCTAACGCAACAAACCACACACCTCGAACTTGGAGGCAAATACCAAAAGCACAAGCAACAGAAGAAGAAAAAAAAGAGATAAACTGGATCTCATCAAAATTTGAAAATTTTTCCACCTCAAATAATCCCACTAAAAGCCTGGCATGATGGTCACACCTTTAATTCCCAGAAACCTGGGAGGCAGAGGCAGGCAGATCTCCGTGAGTTCAAGGCCAGCCTAGTCTACAAATCAAATCTAGGACAGCCAAGGCTACACAGGGAAACCCTGTCTCAAAAAAAATAAAATAAGGAAAGAAAGAGAGAGATAAAAAGAGACAGAGAGAAAGAAAATAGATTAATTAATTAATTAATTAATTCATAAAAAAAGACAGCCCACTAATTAGAAGAAAATACCAAAAGAACACAAGGACTGATTATATATATATAACTCAGTAAACAAATAATCAATCCAATTTTAAAATGGGCAAAGGATCTGGAGATTTCTCCAAGGAAGAAAGAGAACTCACACATAAGGGCATGAAAAGGGGCTTCATGCCACCCACCAGTCGTTAGGGAAATGCAAACTGAAACCACAGTGCGATAGATACCATCTCCTGCCCAGTAGAAAGATCACAACCCAAAAGGAGGTGGAGGCTCAGCCAGATGCAGTGCTACTGGGAATAGAAAATGGCAGTTGTGGTTTAGAAACCATTTTGGTTTTGTTTTGAGACAAAGTCTCACTATGTGACCCAGGCTGGCCTCAAACTCAAGAGATCCACCTGCCTCTGCCTCCCAAGTTCTAGAGAGGAAAAAAATAGAACACCTGAAAGGTTCTTCTGATGTGAGATGGTGAAATAGACTCTTCCTCCATTAGCTGGGGGAGTGAGAAGAAGGTAACAAGTGACAGGCCGTATTCCCAAGGAAAAAACGAGGAAGGGCATCACCAATTAGAAAGGGGACAGCACAGAGAGAACGGCAAAGCAGAGAGAAACAGTTCATGGCCCTCAAGATGGAAGCACCAACGGACAGAGGCAAACCTGCCAAAGTGACAGCAGAAATCAGAGAGGCCAGGAGAGCATGGCTAATACATGTCAGAGAACTTCCAACCAAGATTACAAACCCAACAAAAGACCAGGCACAGTGGCACACCCTTTAATCCCAAATACATTTTTTTGACAAAGCAGATATCAAGCCAAAAGTTAGCCAAAAGGGGGTTTTGGAGACAGATGGCTCAGAGGCGAAGCCCACGGACAGCTCAGGTAAAGGACCTGAGCACCCATGTCTGGTGGCTCACCAGTGCCTGTAACTGTTCCAGTCAAGCCTCGAACACGGCAGGGACACAAACAAAATTAAATGTAGTAGTGCACGCCTTTAATCCTGGCACTTGGGAGGCAGAAGCAGGTGGATCTCTGTGGGTTATAGGCCAGCCTGGTCTACATCATGAGTTCAAGACAGCCAAGGCTACACAGTGAGACCCTATCTTGAAAAAACTAAAAAAAAAAAAAAAAAAAAAAAAAAAAAAAAATTTTTTTTTTTAATGAAGAAGAATTAAAAAAAAAAAAAAAGCCAGGCATAGCAGCCCACTCCTTTAATCCCAGCATTCAATAGGCAGATGCAAGCAGATCTCTGAGTTTGGGGCTGACATCTGCCCATCACTACACTAAAGGATGAATTACATCTTTAAAGGTGGATTGTTTAGCACTGAACGATGAACGAACGAACGAACGACTCTTTGGTGGATGCAGATCTTCTAAGAACTCACAACCTCTTCGACAGTGCCCTGCCCGTGTCTCTGGTGTGGCAAATGCAGTACCTCCAGGGAGTCGGGAAGGACGAAGCCCTCTGCCAGCTGCAAGGACGCGTGCAGGCTGTGCTTCCCCTGGAGGCTCTCGTTGTCCTTCTGCAGCCGCACCAGCTCCTCCGACACCTGCTCTCGAGACTGCATCAGCACCGCCTGAGACAGAAACAGACGCTAATCACTCGGGGAAGGGAGATACAGTCAGGGACAACCCATCAGTGGAACAAAGTCAAACAAAATGCTATTTGAGGAATGTGTGATGAAACTGTGCAAGACACACGGCTAACTTACACTGCGCACACTGACTGGTGTGCACATGTGGAGAGCAGAGGACAGCAGAGTCCACTCTTTGCCCCTATGTTTACAGGCTTCCAGGTATCTATGCAGTCAGGCGGTTCTCCTGCAGAGCCACAGCACCCACCCGCCCCACCCCATGCCTCCCCCACAGCCTCCATGTGTTCATCAGGGAGTCACACACTGGAGTTCATTCTCCACTGTTCCCACCAGCAATTCAAAAACAGTCCCTGCTTCTTGTCTCCCAGGAAACAGCAGAGGCAGGGTCCGAGGCCCGTGGAACTGCCACGGGCACCAGCACGCTACAAACACAATAGCACTGCACTGACAAGTGGGAAAGGCAGCATCTCCACCTCCCTTTACGTCTGCTGCACTGACACCTGACCCAGGAGCAGGTCAGCGCCGGGCAGCCCGGGCTGCAAGTCTTCAAGATGTAAGGCTGCGTGCGGGGGTGTATGTCCATGACCTCAGCACCCAGTCGGCATCACAGCCTGAGCAGCGTGGGGGCCTGTCTCAAGCCTCCACGGCACGCCCTCCCTACTACCTGTGGGGCTGGAGAGCCGTGGAGCCCAGGGAGCCAGCCTGGAGCAAGAGTGAGGTCATCCATGTCCAAACCCCAAAAACCTCCTCCTGAAACCAGCAGGCGTAGGACGGCTCCCTCCCTGCCCCAGGCCTGCATGTCCCAGCACACACAACCTTACAGCCCCCCTCTGCTGTCCTTGGGATGGTCACGGAGCCTGGCACCAGCTCAGTTAAACCTCCCTATGAGGCATGTCCAGCACCTGGAATTCCTCTGCATGCAAGTAAGGCATCCTCAGCCTATGAACCAGTCCCAGTAACTGTGAAAACATTAAATGTTCAGGACTTCAGCCTGAATCCCGCTAATTCTCCATTGTCACCTAATACACATTACTTTTAATGGAATCAGCCTGCACAGCATCTGCAGAGGCAAATGGACTATTTCTTTTAAGATTTATTTATGTTTTATGTGTGTGAGTGCTCTGTCTTTAGTGCCAGCCAGAAGAGGGACGCAGGTCCTATTACAGACGGTTGTGCAGCACTGTCTGCGTGCTGGGAACTGAATTCGGGACCTCTGGGAGAGCAGCCAGTGCTCTCAACTGTTAAGCCATCTCTCCAGCCCCACAAATGGACTTTAAAAGATAAAAAGGACAAAGATGTGAGAAACGACCCCATGAATCTTTGCCAGAATTTAATAATTATACATTTGTCTTCTCTACTTAGAAAAAATGTGTACTTCCTTATTCACAATTAGGACCTGAGGATTCCCACAGACCAAATATAGAGTTCAAGGACTGACTCAGCTGCCATTCAGACACTGGTTAAATGTCAATCAAAAATAAATTATGCCCATCCCACCTGCAGCCTTCTGGTATTTAGAACAGTATCTCTGTGAAAGCACGAGGTAAATGAAAGCTCTGCAGTCATCCCAGAAAGGACAATTCTGCCATAACTGACACAGGCCATCAGATACAGCATCCAACACAAACTCAGCCAGACTAGTCAAAAGGAAGACCCAGCCTCAGAATACTCCACAGGCTTCTGACGGCTACCGCTCAGGAAGCATCTGCCCTCACACTGAAGGCCTGAAGGTCTCCAGAGCTACAGCAAGTATACAAATTCTGGGAAATTAAAAAGGATATTCTAAGTAAAGAAAAGCTACCCAGGAAAAACATGTGACTTTGCAAAGGCTGTGTGAGCTGGAGATGACAATTATCTCTATTCTGTTAGCTTGCATTTTAAACTGAAAATTAAACACTAGTCTATCATAGTTCACTGTTCAGGTAAAGATGAGGCGGACCCTGCACTGTGTAACAGTAGCCACTCTGAACACGGTGAAATACACATGTTTGAGGGTAGAATGTTCAAGACAGGGTTTCTCTGTGCAGTCGTGGCTTTCCTGGAACTCACTGTGTAGACCTGGCTTGGCCTTGAACTCACAGAGATCCACCTGCCTCTGCCTCCTGAGGGCTGGGGCTACAGGTGTGCGCCACCATGCCTAGCGGGGCAGGGTGACACAGCAAATATAATTCTGAGAAAGGAAAAGCAGGAATAAAGGCAGCATGTGACAGGTACTTCAAATGCTGGCTTACCATCTGTTCCTGAATGTCCCTCTTTGCCTGGGAAAAGCTCTGTTGTAACTCTTCAAGCAAGACCTCTGAGGCTTGGGCCCTCAGGACCAGTGCAGATATCTGAAAGAGACGCACATGTGAACACAGTCACAACTTGGTCGTCTAGGCTAACCCTAGCCCACCACTCCACAGCTGCTCCACGGGACCACTCATCTTTCATTCAACCATGTGTGCTCGCTATGCGACAAGACTTTGCGGTACCTCAAGGCATTACAAGGTTCAAGTTCCGTGCTGAGATAAATCAAGCAGCAGGAATTGGTTCTTAGAATGATGAGAGCCCAATGACCTCGTGATGGGTGTATTTTTAAGAGGCTAAAAAAAAGCAATTAAGAAACTAGAAGCCTGCGCCGGAGTGAAGGTGCAGCGGGTCAGAGCCCTTGCTGCTAATCCCAAAGACCTGAGTTTGGTCCTCAGAGCCCACATGATGGAGGAGGCCCTCCATGTGTGCCGTGGCAGTACATACATGTATGTGTGGGTGTGCACACACAAATGAGTAAATGTGCTTCTTCAAAATGGACATCTATGGAAAAGGAGAGAGAGAGGAGAGAGCACACCTTCAAAAGAGAAGTGCACCACACACGGGGACACTCGCCTATAACCCCAGGAGGCAGAGGCCAGCCTGGTCTACAAAGGGAGAGCCAGGAGAGCTAGGAGAGCCAGGGCTATCCAGAGAAACCCTGTCTCAAAAGACATAAACAAAAAAGGAATTTCATTTCTAATAACGACAGACTGAGTGATGTGATCAAAACTACTGACAATTAGGAAGGCTGTATGCGAATATAAATGCATCTTTTCAAAACCTGTTCTTTGAATTTTAGTTATGTGCACACGTGCATGTCTGAGTTTGCATCTGCCCGTGTGAGTGTGGCACCTGCAAAGACCAGAAGAAAGCCCTGGATCACCTGGAGCTACGGTCAGAGGACGCGGATGCTGGGAACAGAGCCCAGGTCCTCTGCAACAGCAGCATGCCTTCTTAGCCCCCCACACGCACCTCACTGAAGGCACTGGACAAGTACACAGCCACGGGCACAGCAGTGGGCGGTGCTTCCAAGCAGCTGAGCACAGCTCGCTAAGACTGCCGACTCTAACATAAACAGCGGTGACACAGAGAGCCCGGGCAAGATGAGAGCCAGACACAGTGGCAAAAATAGAAAACCCAGGCTGCACCAGGAAAACCCCTGGTAAATTAGCTCCAGAGGACCATGTGCTTGGGGAAATGAACACCTTTAAATAATCTCATCTTCAAAACCTTACGCGGCCTCGGGCCCGGGAACTGCATAAAGCGAGGCAGGGCTGCGAGCACCGTGGGCGCCCTGCCTCGCACAAGGGAACCCTTGAACCTCTCATCTGACTCAATGACCACAGTGCTGGGACTGCGAGCACCGCGGGTGCCTCGCACAAGGGACCCTTGAACCTCTCATCTGACTCAATGACCACAGTGCTGGGACTGCGAGCACCGCGGGTGCCTCGCACAAGGGATCCTTGAACCTCTCATCTGACTCAATGGCCACAGTGCTGGGACTGGTGAGGTGCACCATTACCACGCCTGTGGTCCTGGGGACGAGCCAGGCGCCTTGTGCATGCTGGGCAAACATGCCCATTTAGCCCCAGCTCCTTCATTATTCATTTTTAGTAAACTATACAGCACTTAATACAAAAAACACAAGAAAATGGCTTTTTAGAAAACAGACACTGCAAGTCTTCAGTGAGTCCAGATATGTGAGTTATTAGCTATTGAATCAACCTATTCAAAGGCTTAAAAGACAAAATTTAGAATTATCAGAAAACTGGGGATAATGAATAATAACCAAATGGAAATAATAAACTGGAAAAAATCCAATGACCTAAGCTAAAAATTCAATGGATGATTTTACAGAGAGAAGTAAACATTTTAAAACACAGTGAACTAAAAGATAGATCTGGGGGAAAAAAAAAAAAAAAAAAAACAACCCTAAAATCAAAAAAGGCATATAGAAACACAGACATTTAACTATGCATAAATATTTGAATAACTAATTGGCAGTGGAAACAGCCAGCAGAGCTGAAAGATAAGCCTGTGAAACAACCTCCCCATCTCTTTCACCATTTCTACCTGTGCTCAAGAAGTCAGTCCATGCATCCAACAGACATGTACAAGACTCTCAAAAGAAACTGACCAGGCTGGAGAGATGGCTCAGAGGTTAAGAGCACTGTCTGTTCTTCCAGAGGTCCCGAGTTCAATTCCCAGCACCCACGAGGTGGCTCACAACCATCTATAGTGAAATCTAGTGCCCTCTGCTGGCATGCAGGCATACATTGTATACATAATAAATAAATATTTAAAAAAAGAAAAAAGAAATTGACCATTGTCAAAAACTACAAACAAGCATCTCTCAACCACTGTTTGGAAAAACAGTGATATAGTTACAATTTTCACCAGGCATGGCGGCGCACACCTTTGATCCCAGCACTTGGGAGGTTGGGAGGCAGAGGCAGGTCAATCTCTATGAGTTTCTCTATGTAGCCCTGGCTGTCCTGGAACTTACTCTGTAGACCAGGCTGCCTTGAACTCACAGAGATCCAACTGTCTCTGCCTCCCAGAGTCCTGGGATTACTGGCGTGCGCCAGCCATTACCTTATTATTTCAAAAGAAAAAACCCTGAATAATAGATTAAAAGGGTCCTGGAGAGATGGCTCAACAGTTAATAAACTTGTTGCTCTTGCAGAGGACCTGACTTTGGTTGCTAGCACACACGGTGGCTCACAGCCATCCACGACACCACTTCCTGGGAGACCTGACCCCGTCTCCTGGCCTTCCAGCCGGCCAAGGGTGCAAGTGTTAACACCTTTAAGAGAACAACACAGAAAGATCAAAAGCACTTTTCATCTCAGAGAAAATAGAACTGCCAGCTGGTCGGTGGTGGCGTGAGCTGGAGGCCAGCCTGCTCTAAAAAGCAAATTCCAGGACAGCCAGGGCTCTGCCTCAAAAACTCTGCCTCAAAAAACAGTGAGAGATTAAACTGTTAAATCTTCAAAGCAAAAGAAACAAAGTAACTATTTTTTGAAACTGTAACTGTAACTTGAACAAGCTGGTCATGCCTCATGGTCACTCACCTGGTGGCCTGAGTCCTCAGTGCTCTGCTTAATAAAATCTTCTAGCTCCTGTTTCTCCTTCATCGTCTTCTCTAGCTGGTCATTAGCTTGCCTCAGCATTACCTGCAGCTTTTTCACCTGTATGATTCAAAATGAACCAGAAGGAAGCAGTTGGGTTTTTGCTGCTATTGCAGTTAACCCCAGGGCCTTATGCTTGCTAGGCGAGGGCTCTACCCCTGTGCTACACCCACCCACAACTCTTGCAAATTAAAAATAAGTAGCTCCAAAATCTTTTTTTTTTTTTTTTTCCTGAGAAGTACCATAGACTTTCCAATTCAGAAAAAAAATAAAATAAATGAATGGCCTCAAGAACTATGCTGTGCTTTACAGTTAGCAACAGCTTTCACATACATGACCTCATTTGAAAACTCTTCTCTGCTAGGCCCTCTAGAAGCTAGAACTGGCCTCCTACCTATTCTATCCCTTGCCTCTGATCTTCAATTCACAAGAACTTTAACTACTTAAACCTTTTTCCTACTTAGAAGCAGAAATGCCTCCTTCTCACACTCCACTAAACTCCATACCAGCCTTGTGCCCCAGAACTTATCCTTCTCTTGCCTGACTCTAACATTTCCTCCTTGAACAAACATGCTTTCTCCTCCCCTCGTTCTTCCCCTAACTGGAAAGAAAGCCGGCTCTAAAGCAAACAGTCCCACATGCTGCCTTTCCTGAGCCTACAGCTGAGCTCCACACCCCTATAATCTGGGTGTTCATCTCTGGGAACAAGATGGACTGAACTCATGATTTCCCTGGTAATGCTGAAAGCTCCATACGGACCAAACTCATCTTTCAGCTGTTTCTCAATTGCTAGGATCCAGCAAACAGGAAGGCATCTACAGAAGCCTACAGAAACAGCAAAGGAATCCAAGACGGTCCTTTCCCATGTCAGGCCATCAGAGGGAACCTACGTTAACTTAGTTTTATTAAGCAGCTTTACAAATGCACCTGTAAGCTATCAAGAAAGATTACAGAAAATACCAAGTCATTCTAACCTCCTTCAATTCTGATGGCAAAGGCAATAAATAATCTTCATAACAACCAAGAAAAATACTCTTTTCCTGACATGCTTTCACGAGGCCTACTCTTATTAAATTCACTGTTTCCTAAGTATTTCCAATGCTCTACTCTCCTACTCTGTATTTGGAAAAGAACTTTACCCTCAAGTCCAGCAGTCCAAGCCTGTGGAAGCTTAACTTCTGTGCCCAATGAATTACCATTATTCAAGTCAACAAATTTACAACACACAGACAGTAAGCAAAAACAAGTCCAAATTCTGGTCACCATGGCATCCAGCTGGCTGATACTCTGTCAGAGGCCACAGCAACTATTCCCTCCCTCATCTCTGGACTATGAAGTTCGCTGTGAGGGTGACGTCAGATGAGCATCAGGGTTAGGTGTTTGAGGACACAGAAAAGCTCTAAGGTGCTGCTAGCACTCTGAGGCTGAGGTGGCTGTACGGTGTGGGCTTGCTAATGAAGTACGGATACCCAGGGTCCTACTGGGCTCTCACTGGAAGCCTGCCACCACTGTACATGCTAGATTATTCTATGACCAGACAGACACTCTTCAGAAAGCAGATGCGGAGAAAAAAATAAAGAAAGAACAACTCTGTGGCTCTGGTGAAACTCACCTGGTCTCTTGTCTCAGCTTCCTGAATCTGAATTCCTTGCAACTGTTTTTCATAATTGGAACACATATCACAACGTCTACCAAGCTTATTTCCAGCATTATGTACCTGAAGGGCACCAAAATTACCACTTATCAGGCAAAACAAAATAATTCTATGTCTCATACTCAAGGATCAAACGCTTCAGAGATTGACGGAAAGGAATTGCAATACAGAGTCAGGTTCTAAAAGTCAAAACCTTTAGTACAGGTATGGCAGAAAACAAGGAACACAACTTAGCACCAAGGGCCACAAAACACCACATTTGGAGAACACACAAAGCAAGAGGTGCTACAATGCACTCAGGGCTATCTAACCAGCAGGAAGAAGAAAAGAAAGGCACTGCCAGTCCCAGCCCCAGGGACACACTGGCCATGAAGGCAGTAAGCAGCATGTTCTTCACATGTCCTGCATGGCTCAGGACAGGTTATGTAGGTTTGGCAGGCTGCCCCACTTACTCACTGAGCGCTTCTTTAAAGAGAAAGAGCCCTGAGGAAGGGAAAGCACGAATGTTGAAAAACCCAGATTCCAACCCAGGCTTGCTCCATCTCTCTGAGCCGGTTTCTTTCCCCGTCACTGGGAAGAGTTGTGGCCTGACTACCTCGCTGGGATCATAAAGCTCAAAGAGATGAGGTGTGTGAAAGGGCTGGGAGACCTGTAAAGCAGTGTGCAAACACCTGACCTTCTAAGTTTGGAAATACTTTGAGAAGGACTATCTCACTACGCCTCTGTTTTCATCTCCCATGTCAACCCACTCTGCGTCAGGCACCGACCCACTTCTGCAACTTAGAGCTAAAGGAAGCCTGAGTGAACGGAAAGTTCACACTCAGCTCTCTGCCTGTGGCCTGTTAACAGCGCTGGCCAGCCAGCTCCTGTGACAGCCGACAGGCACACAGGGACAGCATGCTGGACCAGGGGTGCCATGTGCTAGCATGCACTTGCTCACAGCCCACGCCGCCCTCCTGCAGGAGCTGTGCACGCCAGAGTGAGCGGAGAGCATGCTGTGGCGGCACACCTCCGCACCCCCACAAACACACAGGTGCAGCCGGAGCAGCCTGGGTCTCAAGGTCATCCTCACTATACAGTAAGCAACGAGAGCAGAAGAGACAAGGTAGAACAGCTCACCTCTTTCTGCAGCAGGTTCCATTCCGTCTCGCTCACTAAGCGGTAGCCACTGGGAGACACGTAAGCACTCTCCACGCCCTGGGTGACGCTGGAGAGGAGGGACGCGGTCTCCTCCTGCTCAGGCGTCATCGCCTTGATTGCGCTCTCTTGATCTTTGGTTAACATAAACCCACTGGGTGTCTGCAGTGATCCAAGGGAGGCAGTATCAAAGTTCTCAGACACAGAATCCGCCCCAACCAGGGGTCCAAAATCCGACTCATCCAAGTTTCCGGCAGATTTTGCTTTGTAGTTATAGCCTAAAGCTTTGGATTGCAAGGAGCCTGATGTTCCCAAGCTATCTGTAGACTGAGCTCTGCGGAGCCCATCTTTAAACATGTCGTTGTCACATCTACTGAACGGATCTCCAGATGGTAACAGCAAGTCTGCGTCCAAGGAATGGACTGACCCATGGGTGCTGTCTAAATGCTCCTGAAATGTGAAAATATATATATTTCAAGTCAGAGAACTTCTTGAACCCCCAAAGCAAAGATCTGCCTGCCTCAGCTTCCAACTGCTGAGATTAAAGGTGTTCACCGCCGCCACCTGGCCTATACTGTCACACATAATCTATTTGCTGCCTTTATGTAATCACTGAACAACCATTTATCAAATACATCTCTTCTGTATGTTGGGCACTACTCACGCACAGGCTAGATGCGTGAACAAAACACAACTTCTGACTGTAAGGTGCACACTGTGTCTTGAGAATTTAATCAAGTGAACAGGCTCTGCAATAACCGTGCACGTCAGCGAGAACGCCATGTGCTGGGATTAAGGCGGAAACATCGGCGAGTGATGAGTTGGCAAACATCCCATGCAATTCAGTATTAGGAACGGTAAGTGTGAAGTGCCAGTTGAAGACCCAAGTACAAACATTCACCAGGCAGACAGACGGACACAGAAGTCTTTGGACAGACAATGGCAAGTAACCACTGTCAAAAGATAACCCGACCCACTTTTAATCCCAGCACACGGGAGGAAGCAGCAGGAAGATCTCTGTGAATTCCAAACTAGCCTGGTCCATGCAGCAAGTTAGAGAACAGCCAGGGCTGGAGAGAGAAAAAGTCTGTCTCCCCCAACAAACAGGAAAGTAACTAAGGTGTAACAGCAGATCCTACAGTGAGAGTCACAGAGGGCGGTCACGGGCAGTGTGAGTGGGAGACTGCAGTGACTGCAGGACGGACAAAGGGAGGCGTAGAAAGCAGGGCTCATCCTGTGCAGCCAAGTTTCAAGCAAGGCATCGCATTAAATGCAGAGCACGAAGAAGGCAAAAATACAGGGAACATCACATGACTCCATCTGCGGGAACGCCCGGAACACAGACAAAGCAGACTGCCCGCCAGAGGCTGGGGAAGAGGCACGGGATCTCTCCTTTGGAGGGTGACAGAAATGTTTTCAAACTACGCAGAGCCGGCAAGTGCACACCCTGAGCATTAACGGCCCAGGGGCTGCACCCTTGAAACTGCTGATTGCATATACACGATTTATGCGTTCGTTCTTATCAACTGGGAGAGCTGTACAAGAGGCACATGCAGACTAGTGCTACTGCACAATGCAATTACACAGCGAGGGAGTAAAACGAGGAGAGGCCAGGCAGGGGAATCTCTGAGTTCAAGACCAGCCTAGACTGTTCTACAGAATGAGTTTCACACCAGCCAGGGCTCACAAAGAAACTGTCTTGGGGAGAGAAAAAAAAAAAAAATCAACAAGGGTCAGTATGATGGCTCTGCTTATTGTAACTGGACAACCCAAGTTCAATCCCCAGGAAACACACGACAGAAAGACAGAACCGACCCATGACCTTGTCCTCTAACTTCTAGACGCATGCTGTAGTGAGTAAACACACACACAGTGTCAAAAGTTAAAGAACAAGGAAAAATGTAAGGAGTTTTTTTGAAATTATATTCAATTTAAATCACTATTCTTGGGCTGGAGGGATGGCTCAGCACTGCTCCTGGTTCCCATCACCTCAGTGGAGGCCACAACACTCATAACTCCCGTTCCAGGGGACCAGGCCCTCTCTGACCTCTGCAGGTCCTGTAACTCCCGCTCCAGGGACCAGGCCCTCTCTGACCTCTGCAGGTCCTGCAAACAGGCAGAACATGTGCATACATTCGGGCACACACACACAAAATGACAACTTTATTTTTAAATTAATCAATTACTTATTTATTTAAATCTTCTGTGCACTGGTGTTTTACCTGCATGTATGTATGCGCAGGTCAGGTCCCCTGGAGCTGGAGTTGCAGACAGTTGTGAGCTGCCATGTGGAACTTGACCCTGGATTCTCTGGAAGAGCAGCCAGGGCTCTCAATTGCTGAGCCTTCTCTTCTGTCTTTATTGTAAGACAGAGCTGTGCCCCTCTTTGTGAGACAGGCTCTCACTGTGTAGCTTTAACTGACTCTGAACTCACTAGGACGCGTCTACCCCAGCCCAAAGGTGTTGTGCTACCACGCTGGACCTACTTCTTGTTTTAAAAATCCTCTTTCGGACGAACCAGAGGAGACTGCGGATGCACCAGTTGCTTTCATTGGTCCTTACTTTCAAGCGTTTTAAAACTGTTATCTGCTATAATAAGAACTTGATTATTTTTGTGTTGATTTCTCTTTCTTGCCTTTCAAATATTTTCACTCATTTAAAATTCAAATTGCTGGGAAAACAAACCTAGTTTAAGTAAGCTCATGATGGCAAATGTCCCAAATAACAACAAAACTGGACCAAAAAGCCATTGTGTGAGCTTACAAAATGAAAATAAACTAAAAAGAAAACTTGCAACATCCGGGCTCAAGAGAGGACTCAACCGTTAAGAGCACAGGCTTCTCTTCCAGAGGACAGTGCACACACAGGCACATAGGCAGACATGGTACACAGGTATACACCCACACATACAAAGTAATATGAAAAATACATTTACTATGATCCCGTGTATTGTAGTGACATGGAGACAGTAGGGAACAGGGAGAGCAGCTGTGACGGCTACCTACAGAACTACGCGGTTACCACCTTAGCAACAGCCCGTTTCACACGTTGCTCCACCAATGTGCCATGCTCACATGCTCCGCCCCAGGTGAACAGTAAACGCAAAAACAGAAGACTGTTCTGTAGTCTTTCTAATTCTTGATTCCATAATACTGACATTATCTTAAAAGTTAATGTCTTTAAACTCAGCTTTTCTTAAGAACTTATATAAGATACATTACAATAGTTTTTGTGCAAGGAATATTACCTACAATAACATTACAGCATTAGTTAATAAAAACATTCACAGCAGGAAAAAAACATAAGCAATTTGGTAAGTGGTATGTCAATCATGTTCACCCTGTCACTTCATCGGGGCTTTGGCCTCTTGGAGTCCTTATTGACGAGGCTGAGACTATGCATCCTCGCACGAGCTACTGCCTGCCTGGGGACAGTCACCACGTGTAAACTGCATAATCTCAAATCCATAGCACACTATTTCCTTTCTCTAGTTTCCACACACATTATCTCCCCAGATCCCCCAGAACAGGGCACCCCAAACCACTAAGGTCAATGCCTGTGGCCAAAGGCTGCCAGTCCTGCCCCCCTCCTGCCTGCGAGACCCGACAGCTCTCTCTTCCAGGAGAACCATGAGCTGGGGTGCACATCAACCAACGGTACAATACTTGCTTACAACATGTGAGGCCTGAGAGGGAAAAGACAGAAAAAGGCAGCAGCAAACTGTTCACACTGTCAGTCACCTCCTCAACTGAGACCTGGCCACAGAGTAATCAGGAATTAGCCAAAGGCATTACGGTGCATTCATATTAAAATCCTAATAAATAGGCTAAAACCTTACGGGTACCAAAGCCTTAAAGCAGATGTAAGCAAAGAGGAGCATTCATAAACATGTAGTTACAATGTAGAGTGAGCACAAAGCACCGGTCAGGCACAATGCCGCACGCCTGTGACCCCAGCACATGGAACAGGGCTAGAAAGCTGCAAAGCACCGGTCAGGCACAATGCCGCGCGCCTGTAACCCCAGCACATGGAACAGGGGTAGAAAGCTGCAAAGCACCGGTCAGGCACAATGCCGCGCGCCTGCGACCCCAGCACATGGAACAGGGCTAGAAAGCTGCAAAGCACCAGTCAGGCACAATGCCGCGCGCCTGCAACCCCAGCACATGGAACAGGGGTAGAAGGCTCAGAAGCTCAGGGCCAGCCTGGCCTACAGAAAGGTCTGTCTCAAACAAAATAAAGGAAAAAGAAAAAGAAGACCAAGCAAATCAAATGGAAACATATTTATGTTGTCTTTGGAAAAGAACACAGAAAAAGGAGAACGATACATGCCAGAACATTAGAGACAGAGGTCACTGGGGGGTCGGAACAGTTCTTTTTATATGTACGGCCCTTCCTGTACTTCACAGATGCTCCATAATATTTTCCTATTACTTTCATAGTAAAAAAGAAAAAAGAAGCATATTTTAAGTACCAAAATAAAGATGACATAAGGGTTCAAGAATATTAAATGTTCTTAGCAATAAATCTGTGTCTCCAAAGCATGTTAATTTTACCACCCAAACAAAATTATCATGACCTGAACACAGAATAATTATATTTAACACCAACAATGTCTGAAAGTAGAAATGCATGTACATGTACACACACACACACACACACACACACACACACACACGGGGTGGGGGGGTCTACTATACACACTGAACTAGAATCTCATGTATGCTGCTCAAGCACTCTGCCACTGAGCCACCTCCCACAGCACAGAGTCTGCCATGTAATTTACAGGCTGAGAAAAAATAGGCATGGTATGAGAAAGCTACTAAAAACAGAAACAAAAATTAGAGAAACACTTCTTTATAAATCACAATTCTCCTTTCCTGTTTTCTAAACATCCTGGTAGATTACTGCATGATGCAAATGCCATGTAATATCTGGCTGAACACAAAGATATAGACGTTCTCCTGGGAGTCTAAGTATTAAAAATTGCAGAGCAAAGTCAGCCAAGCAGCTATTCCTGTGTGCTTCAAAACAAATGAAAAACACGCACAAAAGCAACAGTCATAATTTTCAGTGTCTGCTAGAATTAAAAAAAAAAAAAATCTTTTCTAATGTCAAACTATTAATATAGATGAAAATATAAGCCACCAGGAACTGTACTGCACACAGCTCAAAATAAATCTGCAAACTAAACAAAAACAAGATAGCTATTAGGGAATTTATTCAATGTGGCTGCAATTTGCTCACCAGCTGGGAAGGGAGAGGAAAGTCAGGGATGTGTATGCTCGAACCCCTCACCTTTCCAAAGCTGGAAGCCACACACAGACCTACCACATAAGCAAGCACCGACTACTGAGCCATAACTATCCTAATGAGTATGAAATCTGGAGCAACAGAAATGACATTTAAAAAAGACTGATGACATTAGAAAAGACTTACAAGCATGGACCACAAGAGGCCAAGTCTAATTGTAATGAAGAGAGAACAGAGTTTGTAAAACTAGAAGGGCCTGCTGTATGTTCTTGTGGAACGGATACAATTTGCCCTTGTTCATTCAAATGCTGGTATCTCTACCCCAATATCTGGTTTCAATCCGGACACTGCATTGTGATGCTTATTCTAAGCATCACCTGTCTCAAGTTTGTGTAAACATGCCACCACTTGCTCCCTGTATTGTCAATAAAACAACCAGCCAATGCTGTGCAATGGAGAAAATAGGGTGGGACATCCTGGTCCAGAGGGGAGGAGAAAGAAGTGAGTGGGAGGAGCTGGAGAGCAGAGATCAGTAGGAGAGGAGCTGGAACCAGGAGAGATGAACAGGACCTAAGATATGACTGAAAGCAAGTATAATGTGGGAAATCTGAATAGGAGGAAGCTATGCAAGCTTGGAAGTTTAGGATGGAGTAATCATTGCCCAGCATTGTGCTCTAGGTTAACTAAATGCATCCTAGTCTCTGTGTGGTGATTTGCGCATACAGCTGGTTCAAGAATAACCACTGTTTAACCCAAAGATAAATCAATATTAATAACCCACAACAAGGGCCATCCAAATGGGAAAAGAGGGGCATTAATTTTGATCTCAAAGGCACTAGGGATAGAAGTACTTCATTTGTTAAAGAGGGACTGTCAGCCTGCGCAGTGACGGATGGACAGGAGAATTTCAATAGAAGAAGGCAAGCATTCCACATGAAGGACCAGCATGTGAGGTGGAGAGCTTGGCACAAGAGAAAGACCAATATGGCCATTAGGAGACTCTTTCTGGCCCAGAGAGATAGGTCAGTGGGTAAAGGCACTTGCCACCAAGCCCAAAGACCTAAGTTCAATTGCCAGGTCCCACAAGATGAGAGGGAAAACCAGTCCTCTGACCTCCACATGTATGCTGAGGCTGGCCTCATGCCAAGATGTGTGTGTGTTATTTTAAATGACAAGCCAGAGTTATTTGTGAAGTGGAGCCTTCGATTCAAAAAAATGTTCCCGCCAGTGCATTTTCCTGTGGACAAGCTTGTGGGATATTTTATGAATTAACTGATGTAAAAAGGGCCCAATCCACTATGGACTGTGTCACCCCTGGGAAGATAGTCCTGGGTGTGTAAGAAAGCAAGCAGAACAATCCATGAGGAGCAAGCCAGGAGCCACATTCCTCCACAGCCTCTGCATGAGTTCCAGGTACCCAGTTCCTGCCCTGAGCTATGGATGTAACATGGTTTTGTGTTGGTCCCAGGTGTGGGACGTGAGGCTGATTCAGATGGTCACAGCAGCAGACTGCCTCATGCGAGCTCTGAGAGGGGCTCTTACCCAGCTGCAGAAAGTCTAAATCTGAGGACTCTGGAGAGAGACTAAATGCCGGAGCCCAGAGAGTGGAGCTGAGAGTTGTTGTTGTTGTTTGTTTTGTTTTTTTAGGTACTACAACACTGAGTTCCTGCTCTGACTTCCCTCCATGACGGAGTGTGACCTGAAAATTATAAACTAAAACCTGCTTTCTCCCCAAGCTGCGTTTGGTCATGGTGCTTAACCGCAACAATCGATGCGCTCTTCAACATACGAGGTAGCTGACGGATGTAGAAATAAACTAAAAATTATGACATTATGTATAAAAGTTTTTTGAGATATTTTGAGATGTGGGCTCCAGAAAGCCTCTCATCTTAGGCTCTCCAACCCAGCACACGGAATAACTAAAGTCATAAATTCACTATACCTCTTCATTTGATAACGGGGCTGAAGATTCTTCTTGAGTTAAAGCACAGACTACTGGGATTTTTACTTCTTCTTCAGTATCTGTTTTATTGTTATCTTTTCCCTTATTTAGCCTTTGTTGTTCATCCTCCTCCTAAAAGGAAGAAAAAGCATTATTCAGCCACCCAGGTAATCCGTATGTGTCATAGTTTTTCCACCAATCAAAACAAGAGCAGAGATCATTACAAGAACTGAAAACCGGACACAAGATTATTTGTTCTGTAATCAGTATAGAAGGCCTCTGATCAAGACAAACCACTTAATTTCTATAAGCACAAAGTAAGAAAATCAGAAAGCAACTTTTTTTTTTTTTTTTTTTTGAGAAAGGGTGTTGTGGATGTAACATGGTTTGTGTTGGTCCCAGGGGTGGGACGTGGGGCTGACTCAGATGGTCACAGCAGCAGACTGTGTGCCTCATGCCGGCTCTGAGGGGGGCTCTTTCCCAGCTGCAGAGAGTTTAAATCTGAGGACTCTGGAGAGAGACTAAATGCCAGAGCCCAGAGAGTGGAGCTGAGAGAACGAACAAGGCTGCTGCTTCCCCCTGCGGCTCCTGGTTGCTGCTGTGAGACGAGAAGTTGGGGATCTCCTGAAACGAGGATTGCACTGGCTCCAAGGAACCCGAGAACCCTGACCAGCAGGAAGCAGCAGAGAGAACTGCGGCCCATATCCCACTAACCCTTTCTCCTCCTACCTGGGGTGTTGGGACTGGGGTAGAGTATGGAGAAAGATATAAAAGAGAGTTTTAAAAGTACAACAACAAAAGGGTTTCTCAGCCTTGGCTGTCCTGGACTTGCTCTGTAGACCCGCTGACCTCAAACTCACATCAATCCACCTGCCTCTGCCTCTAAGAGTGCTGGGAGTAAAGGCGTGTGCCACAGCACCAAGTCAAAAATAACTTTAAGAAAGCACACTATACAAAAAGTAAGGCAAACAAAAGAAAAGCTATTCCCTGCTTCAGATACTCCAAAGCAAAAAACCCACACAGAACAATTCTATTTTACTACAGAAGACAGGAATAGGTATTCTGACATCACTCCCATTGAAAACATGGACAAATCCTGGTACTAACAATGGGAGCTGCAATCCCAGTAACCCAGAGGCTGAGGGAGGGGCACAAGTTCAAGGCCAGGTCGGGCTATATAGTGAGACCCTATCTCTTAATAAAACTAAAACAAAAGAGAGTAAGACGGGAAGAAAGGGGAGGGAAAGATAAAAAATACAAAAAGCTGATCAGAGACCTGTAATGATTCCCACAGTAAAGGTGAATCTACTTTGGCTGTAGAAGGAGGAACAAACATTGCACACAGTCCACACAGAATTCTGCAGAAGAAAAGCACAGCTGGCTTCACTGAAGGGAGCCAGCAAAGGGAACCCAAAGAACGTAACTGCTAGAGCTGAACCTTGAAAGACAGCAAGGTGAGTCTGGCCCCTGAGTTGGAGAGGAGCACTTCATGAGCACAGAGGCCCAGCAAAGCGAAGGGCTGAGGAGACTGACAACCCACCCTGCTGTCAACAGCTGTTCTGGGACACTTCACTGTCACCCACTTGTGATGCTGGAGTCAAGGCTATGGGCCTTGCTACTGCCAGGCAGATGCTGCCCGACTGTACGACGTCTCTAACCCTTGCTCATTTTATTCTTTTTTTTTTTTTTAATACATATGTGCATTCCAGCCAACTTGAAGAAAATAGAAAAGATAGTCCTTGAAAAAAAAATCTACCATTCCAGGAAAAACATGGAAGGGCAAGCAGTTTACAGCAAATGAGCAAAATGTTTGCCCTGACTGAGGTCTCGGGCAGGCGCTGTGTCTCACAAGCCTCATGTGAGATGAGGATGGTGGTTAACAGTACCTACTCTGCTGGGACTACCCAGATATGGTGGTGTGTGCCAGTGGTCGTGGCCACTTAGGGGACAGATGGTCCGGAGGGTCACAGGCTCAGGAGTTCAAGACCAGCCTGGGCAACAAGGGAGCCAGTGATTTTATTCTTAATGTCACTTTGAGAAAACAGTCACAAAGCATCTTGTTCTAGCTTCCGTTATCCTCCAGCATACAATACAATACAGCGGGGAGCACTCCTATTAACAGTAAGATACAGCAGGGAGCACTCCTATACAAAGGAACCTGAGAAATGGCTCAGCATCTCAGGCCTCTTGCTATTGCGGAGTACCTAAGCTTGGTTCCAACACCCACATCAGGAAGTTCACAACCTGTAACTCCAAGGGATCTGATGGCCCCTGTGCCAAAGTGCACTAAAGTGAACAACCCCCCCACACACACACAAACACACATACGATTAGAAAGAAAAAATGAGAAGCTATTCACCTGATCTCTCTTCTTGAGCTCCTCAACCTGCCGAAGCTGTTCAGAAGTGAGCACAGCCTCCATGCGCTGCATGTCTCTCATGAGCAGACGCTGAGACTCCAGGAACTGGTCATTGGCCTTCTGCCACGTGTGTTTCAGCTGGTTGTGTTGCTGCCGTTCTTGCTCCAAGAGATGGCAAACTGTTCGGGAACCCCAGTCAAAAGCCCGGCATTTTAACATAGGCAGCGTCTGGCCAGCCTTCTAGTCTGTGTGCTTGCCTCATGACCGACCCCAACAAGCAACCTAACCTGGATGCAACCGTCCCACAGCACCCTCTAGAGCAGTCACCCCAACTATGCCCATAACAACGGACAAACAACCTCTGTGATTCCTAAGTTTTAGAAAACCCAAATTAAATTTTTTAAATGTTAGGCTTTCTTTACTGCAGAATTTAGAGCTTAAGGGTTTAATTGTCTCCATGTTCTCTAGGGGCGGAAACATGATAGCCCAAATGCAAACTTATTACTGAGCAAACATCCTGCTTTGAAAGCCTTCAAAGGCTCCCTTACAACTCACCTGGGAAAGCCAGACCTCTCTGTTTACAGTCTCTGTGACCTGGCCACGTCCACCATCCTGTACCACCCTTTGTCCAGTGTCTCCTGCAAACTAATTTGCTGAACTAGCAGGAAGGGTGGGAGACGGGGGAACGAGACTGATTCACTATGCAGCCAAGAACGTCTCCATGTGCCGTCACACCTGATGAACCACTTGGCTTACACTCTCTCAGCTGCATCCACAGCTCTGTGTTCTGTGTGTGCGCCAATACTTCAAAAAACACTGAAAACTTGACTTCAGAAAGCAACAACAGCAAAATATATATATATATATATATATATATATATATATATATATATACATATACATATATATATATAAAGTAAATTTTAAAGCCAAGTATGATAGCACACGCCTGTAATCTCAGCACTTGGGAGGCAGAGGCAGGTGGATCTCTGTGAGTTTGAGACCAGCCTGGTCTACAAAGTGTGTCCAGGACAGCCAGGGCTACATAGAGAAACCCTTTCAAAAAAAAACCAACAACAGCAATAATGAATAATAATAAAACTTTAAACCAACACTTGAGCGTCACGTGACTTCTTTCAGCTGTTATAGTAGCCTAGGTCTGCAGTCCCAGCTAATAGGGAGCTTGAGAGTTCAAGAACAGCCTGGCAACCTCTGCCTCCAAAACTGGTTTTTAATGTACTCGCACTTGTTTCTTTGGTTTTTCAAGACATGATTTCTCTGCCTGCCTCTGCCTCCAAGTGCTGGGATTAAAGGTGTGTGCCACCACAGCCTGGTTAAGAAATTACTTTTTTTACCTCCTCATTTTAATGGATCTTACTTGTTTCATATATATTAGGAAGGTTTGATAATCTCAATGATGTAAGCTATTTTCGGAAAGGTTGAAACACTAATTTTAAATTAACTTTAATCAAACTAAAACATCTCCTTCTTTTGGCCACCCACTGACAGTACAGGTGTCTTTCTGACTCCAAAAGCACATCTGTCCCTAAGGGCCAGAGCCTGCTCAGGAGTCAGTATGTTTTCAAACATTTTATGTAACAATTCTCTAGGCATCTGTTATTGCAGTTTTCGACTATTTGGGAAGGAAAGCCAGCTCCTACACAGTCCTAAATTGTTCCCTCTCTATTATCCACAGCACTGAAGAATTTACTGTAGAATTCTACCACCACAGACCAAATCCTGTATACTAAAGTACGTTTCTAATAAAATTTCAAATAGACTTTATCTATTTGTATAAGAAAATAGTAAGAGGAGGCTGAGGATATAGTTTAGAAGCATTTGCCTCTTTAACTCTTTTTTTAAAGTTACAACTTTATTTTCACTATCTCCTAGCTGAATTTCAGTATTTCCTTCTACTGTACTATTATGAAATGTAGACCAACAGAAATCACAACTGTTTTCCTATTTGGGGGCGGTTGCTACAGATGTCTTTGGGGGCACAGGGGAACAGGGTCTCTACCCTGCATGAGATTCCAGCTGACAGGTGGCAACTGAAGGCGACCTTGGACTTCTGGCTCTCCTGCCTTTAGACCCTGTGTTTGGCTTACAGGCGTGTGTCGCCAATCTTAGCCCTACTCACCTATGTACATCATGACCTCAATTACAGCTGCTGAATATGTTCCTACACCTTTTTACTTGACATGTCAAAAAAGCAGCATTTATCACTGTGTATCTCAACTATTCAGTTTTGTAATACTCTCTTTTTCTTTTGTTTTGTTTGCTTCCTTTTTTGTTTTTTTGTTTTTTTAAGAGAGGCTCAGAGTTTGAAAGAGAATAAGACTTACAGGAGAGTTCATTTATAAAGAGGAAGGGAAGGGGGAAATGATGAAATTATATTATGATCTCAAAAAATAAAAAATAAGGGGGCTGGAGAGATGGCTCAGGGGTTAAGAGCACTGGTCTGCTCTTCCAGAGGCCCTGAGTTCGATTCCCAGCACCCACATGGTGGCTCATAAACATCTATAATGAAATCTGGCATGCAGGCAGAATACTGTATATGTAATATATAAATAAAATAGAATTTTTTTAAAGATAAAAATTTCAAAATATTTTATTTTACATTTTCAATTATGTATATAAGGGTATGATATATGCACATGAGCTGCGGTGCCTGCACCAGTCTGAAGAAAGCACTGGAGACCATGGGGCAGGAGCTGTAGGCAATAGAGTTGCCCAGGAAATCTCTGCAGATGGCCTCTGCAAAACCAGTAGCGCTCCTAAATGCTGACCCACCTCTCCAACTCGGGTTTAGTTTTTTTGGTTTCTTTGCTTTCGTTTTTTGAGACAGAAACACTTAGCCAAGCTGGTCTCAAACCAAATCAAATGATGATTCCTCTACTTAAGCTTCTCAAGTGTTAAGATGATAGGCGTAAGTCACACAGCCGAGCCCGGTTACTTTAAGTTAACTTTTTGGTTTGTTTGTGGAAATACAGAGCTCACCTGTACATCACACTGCTATTTCATTAGCAAAATCAAAATTGTCCCTTAGAAATCAGTATACTACATGAGAGCCTCTTACCCAATTCCCACTTTTACCAATTCACTTCCCTCTAAATGGCTATGCAGACTGAAGTACTTCAGGCAGAAAATGTCTAACCCCATTGCTTTTCTGCCCAGAGCTCACACCCTGAGCGAGGACTGTAGTGGTGGAAGGAGAGGTTACTGACAACCCAAACTCCTTTAGCAGCTTTCACAAGGGCTTTCAAACCGACTATGAAGCTCAGACTGAATCACTAGCATGCTGCATGGGTGGTTTAGGATTTGTTGTTGGTATTAATCAATTGCAAAAGGAACTTTTACTCGCCTGCCTCAGTTGTTGTCTCAGAGGACTACTGCCTCCCTCTGGTAACCTAGGCCTAGTGCTGAAAGCCGTCTCCATACAATCTAACCGAGACCGTTTTCTGTCTATGCGACTTCCTGCCGGATAAGCTCACCCTTCCTTGTTCCTACTGAGCTCTGGGCTGGCTGGTTCAACTCAGCTGTTCTGGCTCACTCTCCTCTCCCAGCTGACCTAGTCAACCTGGCTTCTCTCTCAGACCTGGAATTGCTCTGCTTGGCCTCAAATTATCACCAGCAATCTGCTCTAATCTCCTGGGTCCTTCTCATTCTCTGGTTCATTCAGTCTTCACCTGAGTTTTCTATCTGCAACCTGTCTCTCTATTCCTGTCCCAGTAACTGTTTTCTCTCTCTCTATCCTCCCTCTCCCCCCCTCTCTCCCCCTTAAGAAGCTTCCCTTTCCTCTCCTCCTGAGAGCTGGGCGTATCCTATTCTGTCAGCCTTTCCCTGGTTCATCACTGTTTCTGCCACTCATTTAGACATCACTTTCAAACATGGATGCTTCTTTCTACAAACTAACTTTCCAAACTTCATTGTTTGGGATTAAAGGGGTGTACTACCACACCTGAATCTAAGCTTTTCTTTACCTGAAACCTGCTCTGTACCAGGCTGGCCTTGAACTCAGATCTGCTGGCCTCTGTCTCCTGGATTAAAGGCGTGTTTGTATTCCAGCCAGATCACACAGACCTAGAAGGTCTTTGTATGTGCTCTCTTGCCAGAGCAGCCGTGTTCTGAATTAACATTCCTCTACCATCAAAATGAATTTCAGTTACATACTTCACTTGGCATAAAGTAAAAATGTACACAACATACATTCATTTACCTTCATGTAATTCCTTCCTCAGTTTCTCGGCATCTTCCTGTAGGACAGACTTCTGAGTGTTCAGAACAGCCACGTACATCTCCAGGTCTGTCCTACACGACTTCTCGGCCTCCAGGTAGTGATTCAGTTCCTTAACCTGAAAGCACAGACCTCAGCTCTACAACCCCAGTAGGCCATAAGGTAAACACCAATGGCTGTGCTTTAAACTTCTGAATATGATACAAATTAGAAAGCAACAGAATTGACAGATGCTAGCCATAAATCTCTTAGGTAAAAATTATACATAATTCTTTTATACCATGATCTTTAAAAGGCTCTTCTAATTTGTATTTACAGAGCAATGCAAGTAAATGCTTGTTTGTTCTCCTTCTCAGCAACACAATTATAATTTGCTTCTTGTGTGCATACAGAAGTGCACATTTGGATGCGAATGCAGATATATACATGGATGCACAAAGCACATATGTGTGCAAATCAGACAACTACAGGTGCCATCCCTTAGGCACCACTCCCTGGGGTTCTGTTTTTCAGACAGGGCCTACCCCTGACCTGGGGCTTCCCTAGTGGGTTAGGGTGGCTAGCCAGCAGGCCCAGGCACCTCAGAGCACCATCTCCCTAGTGCTGGACTTCGAGTACACCCACCACACACATTTTCCCTACAGGTTCCATGTGACTTCTTCCCCAGCTCTCTATTTTATTATAAATGACTTGTGAGCACAGTGTTGTGCCCACTTTTATGACCTTACTTTAAGAAGTTGAGATACAAAAGGAAAAGATAACTATATTATAAAAATACATTACAGTGAATCTGGAAACAAGACGTTTCCACATGCAGTACCCAAAGCATTTGCAAATCCTAATCTGAATGTGGCTCGTAACAGTCAAAGGCAGCACTCTACCTGCTCCCCTTCTTTTATTTAGCGCTTACATTCTTTGCACCTCTTCTTCTCAGGGTTACTCTCAAACATTTCTGTTTAGAGAGACTGTGTGTGTGTGTGGTGTGTGTGTGCGTGTGCTCACATGCAGGTAAAAACAACACTTCTCCTTTCCACTTGGATAGCAGAGACCAAACACAGGCCATCAGGCTTGAAGACAGGCACCTTTATCTGCCATGTGACCTTACAAGCTCATTTAGCACAGTGAACCCAGACTCATGCACAAGACAAGTGCCAGCACCTGCTTCTCACCTACACCTCCAGTCTCTTTTCTATTTTAATGATTTTTTTCTAACTTTATGTGCACTAGTGTTCTGTCTGAGGGCGTCAGATCTCCTGAAACTGGAGTTACACACAGTTGTGAGCTGCCATGTGGGTGCTGGGACTTGAACTTGGGTCTTCTGAAAGAGCTACCAGAGCTCTCAACTGCTGAGCCATCTCTCCAGACCCCTAATCTCTTTTCTTTCATTACTGAAGAATTTTCTCAGTGTAGAGCACTTGCCTAGCATACTTCAATGAGGTCCTAGGTTCATTTCTACCACTAAACACAGACATAAAAATTTTAACAGCCCATTACTATTTCCACTTTTTTGTTTGTTTGGTTTGGCTTATCTTTACTTTTTTTTTTTTTTTCGAGACAGGGTTTCTCTGTGTTTCTCTGTGTCCCAGACTAACTTTGTAGACCAGGCTGGCCTCGAACTCACAGCAAACTGCCCGCCTTTGCTTCCCAAGTGCTGGGATCACAGGCATGCAGTCAGCTTTTGGTGTGGCTTTTTAAAGGCAGCATCCCATGTAATTCAGGCTGCCCCAACTGTACAATGGAGTTGACGATGACCTTGAACTTCAGAACCTCTTGCCTTTACTTCCCAGAGGGTTCCTATTGTGAGACATCAGTCAGCATGCTCAGCTTATGCAGTGCTGAGGACCAAACCCACGGCCTAAGCCTGAGCCACATCCCAGGCATGCAGTGTGGACAGCTAACAGAAGGTGCATCCTCTCTACAAGATCTTCTAGATGAGGCTCCACGATGAATCAGAGCACTGGAAGTCTTCCTGAGGACCCAGGTTGGATTCCCAGCACACATATGACTGCTCACGACTGTCTGTAACTCCAGGGGATCTGACAACTTCACACAGACATGAATGTAGACAGAACCCTGGACATAAAATTTAAAAAACTGAAAAATAAAAATAAAAGATCTCCTAGAACTAAGACAAGGTAAGGGTCAACTCTAAACAGCTTCTTTTCCTAGGTAAGAAAACTAAGGCTAGGGGGCTGCAGAGATGGCTCAATGATTAAAAGCACTGAATGATCTTCTAAAGGACCCGGGTTCCGTTCCCAGCATGGCAGTTCACAACTGTGTGTAACTCCAAGATATGACACCCTCACACTGACACACATGCAGGTGAACACCAATGCGCAAGAAAGAAAAGAGAGAAAGAGAGAGATAGAGAGAAAACTAAGGCTAGATATGTAGCTCATTTGTCACAGTGCTTGGCCTAAGCCCTGGGTCTGATCTCCAAAGCCACATAAAATAGGCATAAAATACATAGCAAGTTCAAGGTCAGTCCGGGGTACATGAAACCCTCTCTTATAAAAATAAACCAATAAAGATGACTCGTTAAGCACAGTGGCTCTCGCCTCTAATCCCAGCACTCAGGGAGGCAGAGGCAGGTGGACCTCTGAGAGTTTGAGGCCAGCCTGGTCTACAAAGCGAGTCCAGGACAGCCAAGGCTACACAGAAAAACCCTGTGTCAGAAGAGAAAGGAGAAGGAAGGAAGGAAGGGAGGGAGGGAGGGAGGGAAAGAAAGAGAAAGAGAGAAAGAAAGAGAGAGAAAGAAAGAAAGGAAGGAAGGAAGGAAGGAAGGAAGGAAGGAAGGAAGGAAGGAAGGAAGGAAGGAAGGAAGGAAAGAAAGAGAGAGAGAGAAAGAGAGAAAGGGGTGAAATTAAAATTGAGTTTCACTTGGATAAAATGAGTAACTGAACACATGATTCGTTCATGATTAGGCATCACTGTAAAAGGAACTTTTATTCACCTGATCCAATTGTTGTCTGAGAGGATTACTGCCTCCTTCTGCTAACCTAGGCCTAGTCCTGGAAGCTTCTAGCGTCCATACAATCTGACCTAGGCCTAGAATGTTTTCTGTCTCTGAGACTTACTGCTGAATGAGCTCATCCTTACTTGTTCTTTCTGAGCTCATAGCTGGCTGGTTCAACTCAGCTGTTCTGGCTCACTCTCCTCTCCCAGCTGACCTATTCAATCTGGCTTTTCTCTCAGCTCCTGAACTGCTCTGCTTGGCCTGAAACTAACTATAGCAATCTGCTCTAACCTTCCAGCTACTTATTCTCTTGCTCATTCTGTCTTCACCTGTGTTCTCTCTGCAACCTGCCTCTCTATTCCTGTCCCAGTAAAACTGTTTCTCTCTCTCTCTCTCTCTCTCTCTCTCTCTCTCTCTCACTGACCCTCTGTAGTGTCCCTTTCCTCTCTCTTCCCTTGAGAGTTGCCATATCCTGTTCTGTCAAGTCTTTCCCTGATTCATCACTGTTTCTACCACTCAGTTAGACATCACTTTCAAACATGGGTGCTTCCTTCTACAAACTAACTTTCCTTCATTGTTTGGGATTAAAGGTGTGCACCACCATGCCTGGACCTAAGCTCTTCTTTACCTGAAACCTGCTCTACACCAGGCTGGCCTTGAACTCTGATCTGCTGGCCTTTGTCTCCTGGATTAAAGGCATGTTTGTATTCCAGCTGGATCACACAAACCTAGAAGATCTTTGGATATGATCTCTCACCAGCTGGTTCACAAAGAGGGTCTTTGGATGTGATCTCTTGCCAGAGCAGCCATGTTCTGAATTAAAATTCAACTTCCCCCTTTTACACATCATCACTGAGGGTTTAAATAATCAAAGGCAAATTACCACAGAGTAGGTTTGTTTTCATTTTGTCTTTCTGAATGTAAAAGAAATCAGATTCTTAAGCTGCATGACTAAACGATCTCCCACCCCTGCTTCTTGAGCGGCCCTAACTTTGGCCCTGGCACGGGGGCAGATGGAGAACAGCAGCTCACAACCTTTGAGGCCTCCAGCTCTTTAATCTTGTCTTCGGCATCTGTCAGTTTATCTTTCAAAGCTGCAATTTCCTTCTCCATGGGCATCACGACGGAACGAAGCTTTTCAGCATCCTCTTGGGCCTACGGTTACAAAGAATGACATGCAACAACGCACTAACCGACGGCTTTTCCGAGGGACTTTGGTCTAACCCTTCGTTAAAAGTCAGCACAGCAACTGTAACTCACTCTTCATCAGCATTCACAAAATAACAATGCTTATTCTCTTCAAATTTTTTCTTTGAATTTTTGTTAGCATGCATTTATTATATTTATAATATAATATATTATATTATATTCATTATAAAATAACGGGCTTCAAAACTACATTTCATTCCAGTTTATCATGTACTTGAGCGCATTAACACCAGCCACCACTCACTCCGTTTCATTCTCCTCACTCATTTGCCCTCCTCCTTTATCCACACAGTCCCTCCTTGTCTTTTATGAAAACACATACACACTAAATTCCACATGAGATGAGGTAGTGCAGTATTTATTTGCCTTTCTGAGTACAGCTTGTTTGGCTGGTGACATTTGGGCCTACATTCAGCAAATAACGTGTATTCTTCTTCAGAGCAGAATAAAGTTCAGCTGTGAGGACAAGGCTCAGCACTTTGGAGCACGCACTGCTCTTCCAGAGGACCCAAGCTGAGTCCTAGCATCCACATTAGGTTGCTGACAACTGCATCTAACTCCAACTCCCAGAATCGATTCTAGTTTTAAGTAGATTACTACTGTGAATGACAAGACATAATTATGGTTTTCCTAAATATTTCACTCAGAATTTAACAATAAGTAGAAAAACAGATTCACTGTAACATATCTGACTTCTTCACTGAGCACTCAATTCTAAAAGCTCTCACATCTACAAGGCAGCATGAAGAGCTGGTGCACCCTCAGGAGGTAGAAGGAGCCTGCTGTGGTCGACACATTAAGTCCATATCAGCCAGAGCCAGAGGGTGATTCCATCTCAAAAAGCAAAACAACACACACACTTAGTGCCAGCACTCAGGAGGCAGAGGCAGGTGGATCTCTGTGAGTCTGAAGCCAGCCTGTTAACAGAGCGAGTTCCAGGCTGTCTTATAAACTGTGAGGCACAAAATAAAGAAGTAAACAAAAAGAATGAAGTTCCTGTTACTAATGAAAATTAACTTTTTTTTTTTACCTAATGTAAATGAGCCAAACTTATCCTAAATTGCTCAGAATAAAGAAATAACATATATTGAGTAGTGTAAAGACTATTGCCCCTGCCCCATCCCCCCAAAATTTAAGGTCTTCAGAGTCACTTCATTTTCTATTCCTTACAAAATCTTTTTATTTTGTGTTGAACTAAATTGTTTGGAAAAGACACATTAGCTTAAAACATCTCCACAGTCAAGGCTTGTTTGGGATGCTTATTGAGGTTTCTCTATAAAGATTAGCAGGTGAAGGAAGAAAGAAAAGCATGTATCTTATTTACTAATGCAAAATACCTCATAACTTCCAGTGCTGTGTAGCATATGAACAAACTTTTAAAGAGCCCATTGAAAGCAGCACTAAATAGAGCCAGCCAGTGAGAGGGGCCAGCGGGTAAGAGCACAAGCTTGCATTCCTGATGAGCAGAGTTCAAACCCCAGAATGCAGTGGGAGACAACTGACTCCCTAAAGTTTCTCTCTGAGCTCCACATGCATGTCTGAACACATACACACACACAATAATAATAAACAGAAAGGTCATTAAAATCAAAAGAAAAGTTGAAAAGCTGTTATGGCCAAGCCAAGCCTATAATGTATGACTGCAGGACTAACTGTAGCATAGTTTCCTAGATGGAAGTCTCAGGCAGGAAGGAAAATGAAAGGGGAGGACACTGGGTGAAAACTAACAGTTTCAACATCAAGTATGAAGCTTTGTTAACAGCGATGAATCGGCATGAGTTTGTTAACTCTAACAAGTATAACGTAATATATGGTAATTAAGAAGACTGGGCATGGAGTATACTGAAACGGTACAATGTTCATAATAAGACTTTGGACTGGAGATGTGGCTCAGAAGTTAAGAGCACGCACTGCCACAGAGGCCCCAGCAGCTCCTCAGCCTCCATCAGGCAGCTCACACCACTGTAACTAGCCTCTTCTCTCGGGCTCCTGTGGGCACCTGCATTCACATCTACAATTCACATACAAACAATGAAAAAAATTTTTACAAACTTTTCTCAGAAAAGAAGATAAAGTGGATGGAGAAAAGGAATGGGACCTGGGGGTTGGAGGTAAATGTGACCAAGATACAGTGTACACATGTATGAACCTGTCAAAGACTGAATAAAAAACTTGTACAAATGCTTTTGGTTTCTCCAGACACGGTTTCCAGACAACCTTGGCTGTCCTGGAACTCACTCTGTAGACCAGGCTGACGCAGAACTCACAGGCCTTCAGACAGCCTTCTTAAATCCACCTGCCTCTGCCTCTGCCTCTGCCTCTGCCTCTGCCTCTGCCTCCCCGAGTGCTGGGATTAAATGTGTGCACCACCACCACCACCCAGCTCAAAGATAAATCTCTAAAAAAAAAAACAAAAAACAAATAACCCATCTCCAAGACATTCTAGTGCCAACAGTGGCACAAATGTTGGGAAAAAACTTACTATTTTCTGCAAAAGTGACTCTTACTGACATACTGCTGTACCCATAGGACAGTGCATCCCAACACCCTCAGAGAAGCTTCCTTCAGTAGAGGACTATTTACAGAGATCCACAACTGAGCAATGTGCAGACAGTGAGAGGCTCTGGAGCACTCAGCCCTAAATGGGATGTCTTCATCAAACTCTGCCCCTCAAGACTACACAGAAAGGTTTTAGGAGCAAGACATAGTAGCTGACTCTAAAGAAACAGCATCTTCTGCACAGAACATCTTCTTGACACACAGGAGAATTCAGAGACTGACAGTCAGCGCACACACACACAACCTGCTCAAGTACAAGTACAACAGAATCCCAGCAGGTAGACGGGAAAGTGACACAAAGTCACACCCCTAACCATGATGCTACTTGCAACTGAGAGCTGCTGCAAAAGGATATCACCTTTTTCCAATGGAGTATCACTGGGCAAGTCTATCAACCACACTCTCAAAGCAGGTCTCATGCCAGGAATAGGTTAACATAAAACAGACTCTAAGTTTCTTTTGGTTTGTTTGTTTTTTTAATTTTTATTTCATTTTCAGTTTGGGGGTTTTTTGTTTTGTTTTTGAAAGAGAAAAAAACATGAAGCCAGATGGGGAGGGGAGGGAGGAAGAAGGGGAGGGGAAAATATAATCAAAATATGGCATAAAGATTTAATTAAAAAAGCAGATTTTTAAAATGGAGGTAGAGAAGATAAAGGAAGACCCCTGACATGCACCTCTAGCATCTCACACACAAAATAAATTTCATAACAATAAAATTTAATTTAAAAGTTAAAACTTTTTTAAAATAGCAAAGATAGTGATTGTGGAAATAATAAATATACATTTGTATAAAGAATAGAGCAGGGATTAATAGCCAAAGATCATTACTAACCATTTTAAAAGAAAAGTTAAATTTTAATTATCATGACAATATGTGGGCAAGATAAATTCACAGACTAAGTTCTATAATCCAATTATGTAAAGACTGTGTAGAATGTCCTCAGTGACAGTCAGCCAGCCGGCTGGCTCAACACAGACTCCTCACACTGAGCCTGATGACCTGAGTCAGGAACTACGTGGTCAAAGAACACAACCAATTCCCGAAAGCTGGCTTGACACTCAACTCCACACACTTGCTCTGGCACAACTGTGCACACATCCACATACAAAATGAATAAATAAGGTGTTTTTGGTTTTTTTTCATGTTCTCAATGAAAATATCTCTTTCATTTGGTTGCCTGTGTCAAGGCATAATATGTGTAGCATTTGTCATAGAAACGAAGGTATGCTGAAAAAATATTAACAAGTATTCTAAAATGTTGTTTAGACACAGTAATAAGCAGCATCTCTCATGTACATGAATCCACTGGGCATCTCTGCTGGATACCGTCCTATGCGCTCAGTACACAAATAGACTCCATCCTCTGGAGTTGACATTCTAGCCAACAGGAAGAAAGCAGTAAGCAAACACAATAGAAGGAGCTGTTTTATCAAGAAATATGCTATGCAAAGAAAATCCTGAAACCAGGTACAGAAACTGCGGAGACCCTGGATGCTTGGGGAAGAGGCAGGTAGGGCACACTCTAAACAGACAGGCAAGAGGAAGCTCCCAAGGAGACGACGGCTCACCCAGGAGTGTGGAGGAAGGGGATCGTGCTGCCTAGCGAGCCCTTCAACAGAAAAGCACAGTGTTCCACTTCCAGTCCTGCGGCTTAAGCACCTGGCTTTCAGACTTGTAACTCTGCAGGTGACTGTATCCCCCGCATACCTTTTTCATTTCGTCTTCTAAATTCTCCTCCTCTTGGCCTTCAGACAATCTTCTTCTCAGATCGGCTATTTCCCGCTCTGCAGACTCTCGGTACTGCGCCCACTGTGCTCGCTCCTGCTCCAGCCTCAGGTGAAACTGGTGCTCATAGTCACGGACTGTCTCTACAAAACACCACATATGCCAAGTCTAAGGACTGCCGGGCAAGTATCTGCTTCACTAAAAGGTTTTAAGTTATGGAAAAAGCTTAAGACAAATTCTTAGAAATAAAAAATTGTAGTTCTTATTATGAGCTGAAATAAGGGCTTTAATACTTCATCATCAATCGTCAACAGACCTGCCATATGCTACTTGACAAGAAAACCTAGACACATTTCAAACTGGAGCTTTCAACACATCTAAGACCCACTCCCAAATCCATGTTATTTGACACCACACTGTGGCTCCCAAAACAAACTCAACATTTCACTGTAAAAAACATGTAAGGAAATACATTATTTCTGGGATAGTTTTACTAGAAGCTAAAATTCTAAACGAAGACAAATTTATAAAGTCTTTAGGAAATAACTTCCTCCTTGTAATGCAGTCTTACACCACCTAACAGGCACTACTGGTGGTCCATTAAATTACCTCTTTTTAAGGTTTCTGTTTTACATTCATGTCTTCAGTGCTGCCTGCACACACTGCACTATGTGCACCTGTTCCCTGCGGGTGTCAGAAGGGGGTGCCAGAGCTCCTGGAACGGCAGTTACAGGGAGTTGGGAGCTATCTGTGGGTGCGTGCTGGGAACTCAACACAGGTCCTCCTCAAAAGCAACAAGGGCTCCGAACCACTCCAGCCACCTCTCCAGCCCCATTTATCCCTTCTTCATCACTAACAAGACAACCTCTGTCTGAGAATTCACAGTGCTCAGTACAGCACTTCACTCTCCGGCTGAGTGGCCAGCTTAGTGCATCACTTGCCTCAATGCCGAAAACTAAACACAGAGACTTAAAGCCGTAAATTCCAATTTCCTGACAGTTCAAGGTGACCACAGACACGGTCAACAAAGTCTAAGAAAGATATACAGTATAAACATTTCTACAGAAATTTTCCTTTTGTAACGGAGGCTGAAAGAGCCATTGTTCAGACAAAAAGCAAAGAGGAAATTTTAAAGAACGTGTTAACTGTACAGAAGCAGACAGCTAGAAAAGTCTAGGATATGGGTAGGGTAACAGACCTGTTAGGACAACCCCTAGCTTACCTACAGACAGACTTGATCCCTATGAGAAATTAACTCCGTATAGACAAAGCAATATAGTCAGACTTACTACCTGAGATTAGAGTAACCCTCAGTGAGAGCTATAGACTCAGAAATAGAGGTAGCCTTAATTGCTTCCTCTCAAAAAAGACTATGTTTTTAAAAACTGGGACACAAATACAAAGACTGCATGGATAGAGCTGTTACCATTAGTTCACATGTGTAAATATTAACTAATTCCAAGATCCCAAAGATTCAGGTAACACCTTCCTTCATGTTGTCATCATTCTCAGAAATGAAGGAAGTCATGAAGGATTTGAGGTGAAGGGAAAGAAGCTAGACACACTATCACACTTCCTTCAGACCAAGGGTCACAAGTTGGACACACCATAAAGCCCATTTTAGCCTTAAGGACATTCTTGCCCATCAAGCAAAGATTTCACATACAAATATACATTTACTTAAGAATCTAAACAAATAAAAATCCAGGCTGAAAGCCTGTTTTGAATGTTAAAGTAACTACAACCCTCACTTAACACACTCTCTCTATTCTTCACTATCAGATCCGTTAAAGACACCGGCAAGGCGTCCATTACAACATCTCTGCTTCGCTCCATTTGACAGAAGGTGACAGTACCTAAAGTCACAAATAAACACAAAATTCTTTCTTTCTTTCTTTCTTTTTGGGGGGCGGGGGGTGGTTTCAAGACAGGTTTCTCTGTGCAGCCCTGGGATTCACTCCATGGACCAGGCTGACCTCACACTCACAGAGATCCACCCGCCTCTGCCTCCCAAGTGCTGGGACTAAAGGTGTGCACCAGCACTGCCTGATGCATTAAAATGCATTGTGGCCATCTGAAAATGGCATTACGCATCAGAATCTGTTGATCTCAGAAAGTCTAAACCCTAAACCTGACCTTTGTCTTTACCTTTCATTACAGCCTGAAGTGAAGCAACTTCTTCTCTCCACTGCCTTTTAACTTCATCTATAGCTTCTTGCTTAGTATTTTCAGAGACTGTAGCAATGGCCTTAATATTCTCCATCTCTGCCTGAGCCTCCCACAGCTGTGTCCGAAGGTGACCCAAATCATCCTGTGCAGCTTGCAATACTGCATTTTGCCTCTTCAGATCCTCTGGGAAAAAAGTAAAAGATTTTCCATTAATGTGTGGTTCACTTTATCAGACCCCCCCCCCAAAAAAAAAAAAGAAGAAGAATCTGAATTTTAAAATGCTATACAGATTATGAAGGCATTTTGATACATATATAAAGTACAACGAGTCTCAAAAACAAAGCATTTACACTAATAATATACTGGGGAAGGTCCCAAGCCTGCTGCTGTATTCAGGCTTTCACCACTCTCTCACTTATTTCCGTGTATGCGGGTGTTTTAACTACACGTTGATCTGTGCACACACGTGCCCTTGAGTGCCAGAAGAGTGCAGCAGATTCCCAAGACTGTTGTCACACTGTTAGCTGGCATGTAGGTGCTGGGACCTGAACCGGGCCCTTCGGAAGAACACCCCGGCTCTTTACCACTGAGCTCTCTCTCCACCCCAATCATCAAGTTGTTTACCTACTCAGCTGTAACTATCCAAATTTATAAACTGGAGATGAAGCTGGCCACTTTCCAGGGCTGTTGCAATGACTAAATAATACACTGTGAATGCCTCCAAGCACGGTAACTTTCAAGAGTAAGCCTTCAAGACACTCTTAACGGAAGAGCCACACCATACAGCGATTAGAGTTGACAAAGCTATGATTACTTTCTTAGTCACCTTTTTGTTTTTTGCTTTTTGAGACAGGGTTTCTCTGTGTAGCCCTGGCTGTCCTGGACTTCCCTGTAGTCCAGGCTGGTCTCACAGAGATCCGCCTGCCTGGGGTTAAAGTCATGGGTCACCACACGCAGCTCTGGTCACTTTATAACCTCTTAAATATTAAGTAGTTGATAGCACATGGATACCACACGCCTTAAGCATAGACAGGGCATATATTCAGTCCCGACGTCTGAAAAAGATGGGAATGTAGTTTAGTGGTGCAGCACTTGCCCAGCCTGCACAAAGCCCTGGTCCCTAACCCTAACAAAAGTAAGGGATAGAGCTATTTTCTCTTACTGTCAACGCCCACTATTCTCTCCATTCAAAACACAAAAACCCTGACTACCATCAACATAAAAGGTTTCAACTTTTAAGCCTACACTTCCTTATTTGTAGGAAGTTTGGTATGTTCCATACACTGACCAGTGACCACAATTCCCTTAGATTTCCCTTCCTCAGCCCCTCACCAAGTACTGTGAGTTGTCCACACACTCTGAGTCCTTCTGCCTTAGGCTCCTTAGCAACAGGATCTCAGTGCACACCAGCACGCTCTGGATGTCTGTCTCCAATGCAGCTCTCCTTCTGACTTAGGAAGAGCACTGTGAGGGGTAATCTTCACTGCTGACTGCATAAGGCGTCACCACAGAGAAAAACCTATGGTCATGAATGACTGGTGTGTCCATAGAGGGTTAAGTGAACAAAGAAGCCCATCCTGAATGTGGGCTGATACACACAGGACGAGGTCCTGGATTAAAAGTAAAAGTAAACAAGCCTCCCATGAGCATTCAAGCCAAGTGTGAGCTTTCATCTCCCTCTGCTTTCCCGACCGCAGATCCAATGTGACACACTTCACGCACCTCCGGCCATGCCTTCCCTGACGTGAGCCTCCTGCATCTCCTCCAAGCACGCCAGGTGTTGTGTCAGAACAAGAAAACTAGCACAGAATTCTTGTACCCAAAGCGGGCATGTCGCTATGATAACCTGACTACATGGCTGGTAGGTGTTTGAAACTGGCTCACGGCAGAAATGTACAAGAACTTCTGGGTTACGGAACAGAGAAGCCTCAGAATCCCATAACCAGAACTGAGTGTTTCATCTGACGGAGTGTGGAAAACCAGAACTCAACAAAAGGCCAGACAGTGAAGACCGTACTCATGAAGTCTGGAAAGAACAACAACCCGTGCTTGGGTTACAAGCCACTTGTAGGAGGACAGGGTTTGAATCAGCCATTGTTCAGTCCGCAGCTGTGTAACAGCCTTCTTCCTCCCACAAACACTAAAAGGCAAGCTAACGGAGACACTGAATCCCTACCTAACAGACCTCCAGGTGCCAGAACCTCTCACCTGGGAAAGTGAGTTTATGTCACAGCAGGTATTGGCTCCTGGACCGCCAAAGACCAAGAATAAAAGTAAGAATGAGAATAAGGCTGCAGGCTAGAACTGTGAATACCCCAACTCCAGAATACCCAGAAAGGCAAGAGAATCAACTCCCACTTCTGCCACAAATACATACTACGATTCCCCACTTCAAACACACTCCAATGCTGTCTGTCTCTGGGGCAAGGGCCTGAACTCTCCTTGGAGACCCACTAAACTCTTAATAACTTTTCTAATTAACTCCTTACTCCCCAGGAATCCATCTTGGTGTCTCTTGTGACAGTCCCCCCAAATTTTTCCAATATTCACTTTTTATCTTAGTAAAAGAGTCTAACCCTAGCCCTAACCATAATCCTTCAAACCTCTCCCACTAGAAGTAGCCCCTTTCTGCTGTCATTTTATATAGTTTCTGCATGAAGTATACAATTATCTTTGTGTTTTCCTCATTACTCCTTTTAACTCCTCACTGACACTCCTCATGTCCCCTTCTGCTGCCATCATACGTGTGTCACAGAAACACACAGTATACTCCCTACATGAGTCAATATGAAACTTATTTTTCTGAGCACCTGCATTTTATAGAGATGTCCTAGTTGGCACATTCCCCTTCTGTTTCTAGTTTAGTGGTTTTAATCATGAACAGGTACAGTTTTACAAATTACTTTTCCTTTATCAACTGAGAGATTCGTGTGCTTTGGTTTTGTTTGTTTTTTTCAAGACAGGGTTTCTCTGTGTAGCTTTGGTTGTCCTAGACTCACTCTGTAGACCAGGCTGGCCTTGAATTCAGAGCTCCATGCTTCTTGAGTGCTGGGGTTACAGGCCTGTGCCACCTCCGCCTGGCTATGCGTACACTTCGGTTTTTATCTTTTGTTTTGCTTGTTTCTGAGACCAGTCTTCGCAGTTATGTAAGCTCTGGCTGATGCTCTGTAGATCAGACTGTCCTTGGACTCACTGAAGCTCCCTGCCTCTGTGAGTGCTGGATTGAAGGCATCACCACGCCCAGCTTGCGCTCTATGCTACTCACTATAATGTACTGTTACAGTGGTAAAGTGTGTGACCAATCTGCAGTTCTAGGACAAGGCCAATTTGTCACCATCTGTTGTTGTTATGGTTTGGTTTTTTACGTTGTTTGATTTTGGAACACTTAGTAAGGATTTAGACAGAGACATCTACATTTCAAAGAGATGCATACACAAAGTTCTTGTGATGACTTGTTACATCTTTTCTAGGTTTTATCTGGATAATACTTTGTACAGAATGTCTCTTGCAGGGAACTAGAGAGTAAGAGCACTGGCTGCTCTTCCAGAGGACCTGGGTTCAATTCCCAGTACACACATGGCAGCTAAAAACTATCAGCAACTCCAGTTCCAGGGGATCTGACACCCTCACACAAACATACATGCAGGCAAACACCAATGCACATGAAATAAAAATAATTAATTTTTAATAAGAATGTCTCTTGCAGTTTATTTTTTATAAAAATTTGAAAAATTCTGGTACTAATTGTTCACAGGGGAAAATATGGATTATAATCAATATTCATTACTGTACATTTTAATGTGTTAAATAATGGTGAACAATTCTTTATGCAAACTTAGCTTTTCAAAAAGGGGGAAAACTAATTTATAACTAATTTCTCTTTATTCTGTTGTATTGTCTATGAGAACTCTGGCAAATAATAAAGTACTGATGACGGAATACAGAAGTTCCTCAAAAACTATTATGTGCTCCAGCTACGCTAGTCAGTCCTTCTGCCTGAGTCTCCCAAATCGCTTGGCTTGGTCTTTTAGTTTTTCCATGTTTTATTAGCAAATATTAGTTGTATGTGAGTTACACATGAATTTCATGACATTTTCACACATGTATATAATTTTAAGACTTACTTATTCATTATGTATACAATGTATGCCTGCATGCCAGCAGAGGGCACCAGACCTCACTATAGATGGCTGCCAGCCACCGTGTGGGTGCTGGGATTCAGTGCTCTTAACTGCTGAGCCATCTCTCCAGCCCGTGTATAACTGTGATTACACTCCCTCCCATTCACCAATCTCCATCCTCTCCTGCTCTTTGCTACCTCCTTCCCAACCATTCCCTCTCTGCTTTTGTCTTTATTTCTCTTTCTTTGTTTTGGTGACCCAATAACTTTGTTAAGCTTGTGTTTTTGTAGGTTTCTTCCAGAAGACTTTTTAGTATTGTTTCATTTTGCATCTGGTCATCTGGCCTACGAGTGCAGAAGTGCAACAGGTGCTCGCCTGTGCTAGCAGAGAGCAGAGAGGGCACCAGACCTGCAGGAGTCAAGGCAGCTGTGAGCAGATGCTGGGAACCAAGAACACTTCTGTGGAAGTGGACTCAACGTTCTTCGGGGTACTTTGGAAGTCGTCTTTGTCAGTCTCTCCACTTTGTACAGCTTCTTATGTCCCTCTCTAGTTCTCTTCTGACAAATACAAGCCCTCCCCATTGCTACAGTGCCCGTGCAGGCGACAAATGTTCTCAGTATTTAACTGCCTCAAGGATGCACTTTGTTCTCACTCGAGAATTCAGGTAAAGGCTGGGCATGGTGGCACACACCTTTAATCCCAGCACTTGGGAGGCAGAGGCAGGTGGATCTCTAAGTTCAAGGGCATCCTAGTCTACAAAGTGAGTTCCAGGACAGCCAGGAGAAACCCTATCTCAAAAAACAAAAACAAAAAAGAAACTATATAAGCTTATGAAAAAAATGACTAATATTTTTGGGAGCTGGAGAGATGACTCAGTGTTAGTGGCTGTTCTTCCAGATGTCCTAGTTCAAGTTCCAGCAGCCACATGGAGGTTTATAACCACCTGTAATAGGGTCTCATGCTCTCTAACTTCCTCGTGTACATGCAGACAGAAATTCATATAAATAAATAAATGTTAAAAAAGAGAATTCAGCTAAATATTAAAGTTGTAAGTTGACAATC